ACCGCGCAGCAGCAGACTCAGAACCCTCAGGCGTCGCACCCCCAGACTCAGTACCCCCAGGCTCCTCACGCTCGGGCTCAGCACCTCCAGACACAGCACCCCCAGGCTCAGGACCTCCAGGCTCCTCACGCTCAGGCTCAGCGCCCCCAGACTCCGCACCCCCCGGCTCAGCACCTCCTGGGTCCTCACGCGCAGGCTCCGCACCCCCAGGCTCAGCACCCCCAAGCTCCGCACGCCCAGGCTCAGCACCCCCAAGCTCCGCACCCCCAGGCCCAGCACCCCCAAAGACAGCACCACCCCCAGCAGGACCTGAGTCACCAGTGACCTCAACAGGCGCAGGCACGGGAGGGTCTACCTGAGAAACACCTGAAGGAGCAGGACCTGGCGCGGGGAGGGGGTCTACCTGGGGAGGACCTGGGGCGAGAAAGAGCGGCGGGGGGGGGGGGGGAGGGGCAGTGCGGTAGGGAAAGAGACGGTAAAAGGGGACGGACTCGTCAAAGGTGACGTCCTGAGACGGAAAGACACGACGAGAGGCGGGGTCGTAAAACTGCCAGCCAGGCGCGTCAGGGACAAAGCCAAGGAAGACGCAGGGAATGGCGCGAGCGGAGAGCTTGTCCGCGGTGGTATCACGGACAAAGGCACGAGCACCCCAGACCCGGAAACGCGACGCATCGCCAACCTTCCCCGTCCACAGCAGTGTGGGCGAGGTCTCCGGCAAGGAGACACGGGGCCAGAGGTTGAGCTGATGCGCGGCGTACCGGACCGCAAACGGCCACAGAAAATGGGGGGCAGCCGCATGGATCATGGAGGTACGAGCGACCTCCATGACTAAGCCAATGCGGCGCTCATCAACCCCATTCTGCTGCGGACAGGCCGGAAGCGTGAACGTCTGGCGGATGCCGTGCTCCGCACAGAAGGCTGCCAAGAGGTCGGGGGAGAACTCACCACCTCTGTCAGAGTGCAGACGCAGGACAGGAAAGTCCGAGTGGAACCGCTCGCGGAGCTGGAGACGAACAGCGCGGATCCAGGGGATCAAAACATCAGGGACCTCCCCCTTGCTGCGCAAGGGGAAGACCGTGGTGTAACGCGTGTAGTCGTCGACGACCAGCAGGAAGTACCGCTCGTGGCACTGTCCACGGAAGCGGGCTGGGCCCCACACGTCCATGTGGAGAGTCTGCAGGGGAGCCTCTGTGGGAGGAAACGAGGAGGAGTGAGGAGCGGCGCGCTGCCGCCCCTCGACGCAAGGAATGCAGGGCGGCGCAGGCGAGGGAGGGAGGGCAGACAGAGACTCAGGAAGGCCAGAGACCAGGTAGCGAGAGTGCATGCTACGAAGGCGAGGCAGGGAGGGGTGACCAAGGCGGTGGTGCCACAGAAGAGTGTCGTGCGACAGGCGGCGACACTCACACTGGGTAGCTACCTGAGCAGACGTGTACAGCTGGGGGGACAAAGGGGTGTAGCGTGATGCAGTGGTGAGGGTGTACAGACTAGACCCAGGCGCACGTGTGAACGTGGCCAGGTGACGGCCGGTCCGGGAGCACGTGCAGATCGCCACACGCTGTCCTCCAGGAGTAAAGGTGTCAACCCAGTGATCCTGAAGGACGGCGTTGCTCACCAAGTTCGTAGAGAACGAGGGGAGGTGGAGACCAGACAGCTCACCAGACGGGACCGCCGGACACGGAAGCATAGTGGAAGACCGTGCAAGCACTGGGCGCCCAGAGGGGTCAGCCAGCGAGACACGAACAAGTGCAGGGAGGGGAGTGACTGTGGTGCTATCGCGAAAGAAACAGCGGGAAGCACCAGAGTCAAGTGTGAAGGTGTGCAAGGCCTGTGCGGACGCAGTACCAGGGGGAGCAGACTCACAAGCACCTAGTGCCACAGGCGCTATACCTGGGGCTATACCTGGGTCAGGCGGCACACACAAGTAGCAGTCGCCCTCAGCACTAACAGTCAATGCATACATGGCAGCAAGAATAGCCTCATAGTCAAGATCAAAGATAGGTACATCACGCCTAAGCAGGTCTGCCCAGTTGGGGAACTCAGTAGCATCAGGAAACTTGGCGCGCCAGGCGTCGCTAAGCCGAGCGAAGCAGCGCTGCTCAGTGTGAAACCCTGTGCACTGGCGACCAGTGCGGGGACCTGTGCGAATGATATAGGGGCAGCGACCAGGACCCCCAGAAGCCCCACGCCCAGCATACCAGTCAAGAAGCTGCTGGGAAGTGGGGGTCTGGCGCTGACGCTGCTGCTGCTGCTGCTGCTGCTGCTGCTGCTGCTGCTGCTGCTGCTGCTGCTGCTGCTGCTGCTGCTGGCCCTGACCACCACTGCCACCACCGCTCCCTCCTCCCCCACCGCCGCTGCTGCCACCTCCACCGCTCCCAGTGCCTCCGCTGCCCCCACCACCACCTCCACCACCTCCACCCCCACGACCGCCTCCACCACCTCCACCTCCCCCGCCGCCACCTCCACCGCCACCTCCACCGCCACCCCCACCTCCCCTGCCACCCTTGCCGCCCCTGCCGCTGCGACGCTTCCCACTAGGAGCGGAAGCAGCCCCGACCTCCTCAGCACCAAGGTAGTCGTGAGCAGCAGCTGCGGAGGCGTAGGAGGGGGTGAGAGGGGAGGGGGAGCACCCCTCAAAGAGGGGAGAGCGAGGAGTGCCACGAGCAGCACCTACAGCGAGGATGTTCTTCTCTGCTGCAAGGAGGTGCTTCTCGAAGTCGTCGACAGTGAGAGTGGGGGGGTCTAGCGCTAGGAAGTGATCCCTGACGGAGCTAAGAGTGTCAGGGAGGCGGGTGATGAGGAAATAGAGAGTGAAGTACATCGGGGGGGGGGGTTTGCGGCGCAGAACTCGGCTGAAAGGGCGGCACGAAAGCGAGTGTCAGTAGCGCGCAGGTGGGAAATGAGGTCCTCAGCAGTGGTGAACGAGGAAAGGTCGGGGAACAGGTAGGGTAGCATGAGCCGACCTATGGCTGCAGTGGCCGGGGAGGAGTAGCGCGCAACTACAGTGTCGTACAGCGTCTTAGCAGTTTTGTGCTGGCTGAAATGCGCGCGCTCAGTAATCGGCAGATGGTTCCTAATAGCTAGGCGTGCAGCAGCATCGCGAGTCTGCCACTGCGAGCGTTCGAGAGCAGGAGCATCGGCAGCAGGAGCAACGGCAGTGCCAGACACGTAATCGAACAGTGAAACGCCCTCTTTGGCATCGGTCAGAAGGAACAGTTGGAGGTCGTCTAACCACACAGCGAACTCTATGGGGTGACCGTCAGGCTCGAACGCGAGAACGTTAGGCGTCGTCATAATGGCAGCAGGCAAAGGCAGTAGGCACCAGGCCGCAAGCAAGGACAGAGGCAGCAGGCAGCAGGCAGAAGGCAGCAGGCAGTAGGCAGCAGGCAGTAGCGGCCGCACGTGAGCTCCTAAAGCAGCGCGTTAGGCAGCAGCGGGCCGCGCAGGTGGCCGACGTGGCGCGCGGGCGGCGGACGCGGCGCGCGGCTCAGCGGCGGGCCGCGCTGGCGACAGACGCGGCGCGCGGGGCGACGGCGGGCTGCGTGCGGCGGTGGGCTGCGCGGGCTCGACGCGGGCTGCGCGGGCGACGCGGGCGCGAGCAGCCGAGGCGCGCGCGCGAAAAAGCGACGCGCGCGCGAGCAGCCGAGGCGCGCGCGAAAAAAAAGTGACGCGCGCGCGCGAGCAGCCGAGGCGCGCGCGAGCAGCAGGCAAGGCAGGCAGGCAGTAGGTGAGGTAACACAGGTACGGGTGGGCCCTATTCTTAGGTCCTAGAGACCTCCTGCTCTAGATACCGTGTCGAGACTAAGGCAAGGGAATGAGTAGACTAAGATGAGAATGATACAAGAAGGAAAACCCTAAGGGGTTGTACTCTACAGTGTGTGCCCCACTACAGCCTACCCAAATCTAAAACATAGATATATGTTTGACAGGACCCGCTATGAATACCATGTCAGAAGTAGGAACGTAAGAATGACTAGAATGAGGACAGTACAGGATTGTATAGCTAACCCTAATTGGGGTTGTACCCCGTAGAGAGTACCCCACTATAGCCTAGCAAGTAGAATTGTAATTTGACAATGAGCAGCAGCTCCCATGCAGGGCTGGCACCGCTGACGGCCCTGCACGAGCTGTGATCCACCACCATCCCTGCCGCTGCGTTCTGCTGGTCCCCCCCCCGCAAGTGCAGCTCGGTGGCAACCCCCTCTCTGGAAAGGGCTCATGGAATGGAGTGGGTGCGATGTACTGTTTATAGTTTTGTGCTCCCTTGTTGGGTTCGTCTCATTGATGGTGATGGTCAGTTGAGAAAGCTTGTGCCTGTAACCCCTTTCATCATAGAAAAAACTGTGTCCTTGTTTTTATCCTTCGATGAATCCAATTATTTTGTGGCAAGAAAGGATCTAATCATACCTACGGTACCGTATTAGAGAAGGAAATGTGAACTTGCCTAATATGGTTTGTACGCACTTCTGAAGCTGGATGTTTTCCTATTCTACAACCATGTGCAAGTGTATCGCCTCGAAGTAGCAGCACACCATTGCGACCATTCCATAATCTTGAATCATACATACCCAAAACCTTGCACCCCCATATAGTGCCAGCCACGTCCCACCACATCACCAAATCCAGAAGCCTCGAACGGGACTTGGCCATGTTGGCAACCCCTTCCCCGTCATCGTGTCATGCGTGGCAGCTGTCACACCTCGACATGCTGCCGCGTCACTCACGGAACCAAACCCATCACGCAGCAAGACGCTCTAGGTCTCGATCTCACAAAAGTTGTACCTTGCTGATCCACATACCGTGATAGAAAGTACCAGAATGCACAGAACCGGTTTTCACTGCACCGAGCACATCCAACTCCTCAAGCCCCGAAACCTCTCTCCAAAGCTTTTTCTTCACTTCTCACTGACTCCTCTGAACGACCTTCACCCGTCGTTTCAGGCCCACTGACTCGCAATCCACATCACACCACCTCTTCTCCCTAACCTTGCAGCGCTTCGAGAATGGCCACCACGTCGTTCCTTGTCCGCGTTACAAGCCCGGCCACCGTTGCCGCGGCGCAGATTTCCTCCGCAGTTTCCGCGTCGTCAACCCCCCGCGCAACGGCTCTCCGCTCGTGCGCAGCTGTTGGCGCATCCCCCTCCCGCCGCAGTGACCGCTTGCAGCAGCGGTTTCAAACCGCAGCGGCAGCGGAAGAGGCCGCTGCTGACGTGGCAGCTGAGGCTGAGGTGGCGGTGACGGAGGAGGAGGTGGAGTATGTGGGCAACGACGAGCTTGTGATGTACTTCAAGGTGCGCCTTCCTGCTTCTGCGATGCGTGCGACAAAATGCGATGGTTTGCGACGCTCGTAAGCCTGATAGACGGAAACAGGCTGTCTCACTTGAACATCCGCTCCCTTGTCAAGCACTGCCAAGGCCGACAGAGTTCGGGTGACGGCTTTTCGTATCCGAGAGTCGATGCGTTCACCTGAAGCTACTTCTGAGACGTCTCTGAAGCTTCCCACGCGTCGCGGTGCACTATGTTCTCCGTAGTTTCTCTGATCGACCTTGCGCCTCTTCCGCGCCCCGCTTCCCGTCGCAGCTTCCATGCGCGTGAAACTGTGAAGCTGTCGATGTGGCGGGATGAAATGCTTCCACGCACATTGGAGCCACTTATGAGAATGCTAGGAATTGAGACACAATCATTCTTCCTCATGCATCAACCCCTTCGAAACAATGCCTGCTGCATTGTTCAGAATGCTGGATTGCGAGACCGCTTATGGAGCTGCTGTCAGAAATGGAAGCCTTAAAGTCTCGGGAGTTTTTTTTCCCCTTCGCCCCCCTCTCCTCTTTCCCTCTCCCCTGCTGTCCTCCCGGTATTGCGCTTTTGTCCCCGGCCAACGACCGCGCTTCCTCCTCCGCACTCCTCCACTCCTCTTCTTACCACGGCAGGCGGAGGGTTCTCTTCCCGAGCCGTCTGTCGCGAAGGTCACCAAGGCTCTTGAGGTAAGGCTTGGGAAACCGTCGAATTGTTCAAAGTCGCGTGGCCATACATAGAGGAGAGACCAAGCTAAATTTTACCAGGGGTACTTACCCGTTTTTACTATAGAGCAGTTACTGTAGGATGGGGAGGAGCAGGAGAAGGAGTAGGAGGAAGAGTAGGAGGGGGGGTAAGAGGAGGAGTAGGAGTAGGTGTAGGGGGAAGCGTCTCTTGCTTTGAATCTCAATCCGTGCGAAGACACAAGGCGAGCTTGTGGTCTGTTAGTGTGTCATGAATCCCGGGCATTCTAGTGCTCTGAGATCGCTCTTAGTGCTTGTGGGCTGTCTCGCACTCGGGGCTGCCGTGGATGCTATGAAGCACTGAGTGCGCGAAGCCCGAGTGGTCTCTAAAGGCCCAGCGCGTGTCGCCGAAAAGGTATTGCTAGCTGGTGCACGGCACGATTCGCTCGGGAGATTTTGAATGCTTTGTTGCTTTCCGCGGCGTCGCGGTGTGGACGGTAAGGTGGGAGGGCGTGGTGAGCGGTGCAGAACGCGCTGTTGATTGTGGGGAAAGCCTAGTTCGTGTAGAAACAAGTGAGGGGCAGAGCGAGAGGGAGGGGCGGGGCGAGAGAGGTGCGGGAGCGAACGAAAGTGCCCGGTTGAGTGACTGAGCTACTGACACACGGACAGTGTGGCTTCCATCTTGACGAGAGACGCAGGGAGCATAGACGTACAGGAAAGAAGGCAACTGCATGCCAGGAATAGGCAGTTCCAGCACCATCTGCTTGAATGCCAATTGCACGCGCGTACTGCTGCTGCTGCCGCTGCTGCTGCATCCTCTCCCCGCTTCTGCTCGTCCCTCTTACTGGGCTACCTTCAAATGGCCCATTCCCCGTCTTTTCTGCAATGCCATGCCCTGTCGTGATAACCGAACGCATGGCATGATGACATGTGTGGTGTGTGTGCGTGGTGGCAGGCTGTGGAGGGAGTGCACAACGTGAAGGTGACCGTGCTCGAGGGCTGCGCCACTGTGGAGGTGCGTGCGTGCGTGCGTGCGTCCATGTCTGACGCAGTTGGGTGGCTGGGGATGCTTGAGGAGGGGGAGGGACTTTGTGGGGGATGATGGAGGCCAGAAATGATATCATGTTGCGCCCTGACTGTGATGGTTGTGTCGTGGTTGTGTGTATGGTTATTGGCTGTTGACGGCTTGTTACAGTGTGCAATCAGTGGATTGCTTCTTAGTACCAGCTCCCCTTCCCTCCATTACTCCCTTGCTCTCCTTCCTGTCGTTGTCTGCATCCTTTCTCCTGCCTTGTGTCCCCTCGTCCCCTATTGCTCCTCTCCTGCCTGCACACATGTGACCAAGCACACTTTTCTGCTGTTTCTCCCCCGTTTCATATCCCGTTCAACCCCCTCGCATGTCTGTGCTTGCCACCCTCCCTGTTTCTCTACCTGTCCAGCTCACCAAGCTAACCACAGTGCAGGAGACAGGTGTCGCATCAGGACTGGTTGAGGTGGTCCAAGGTGCGGGCTTCAGCATGCAGACATTGAGTCTGGCGTTTGACGAGGACGTCGAGTCAGAAACTGAGTTCTTCAATTCCTTCCGGTCCAATGCGCCCGAGACCACCCCCTTGCCTGAGCCTGTTGCTGCTGAGTAGGCGTTGGACTACTTCTGGTAGACTGCTAAACCATGCTGTCTTTCAAGTTAGAGATATGTGGAGTAGGAAGGAACTAATGCACTCTTGAGAGTTGTTATATCTCACCGAAAGCTCATTGTGTGCCCATTTGCCGCACAGCTCATGCTTGTGCTATATAGAGCAGTGCTTGTAGTGTTTTTTGCACAACGATTCCATGGAGCGACCTTTTGGAAAGTCAGAACACCCACCACAAACCACTTCCAACGTGCATTTGAATATCCGTGGGGTGGATAAGAGGAGACCCCAAGGAATATGCGCTGAGTGCTGACGTTGACTCAGGTCACCTCTTCCAATCCCCGAACCAGCTGTCAAGCAAGTGGTTGCCTGTGTGGTTCACACACTTCTGCTGTCCCTCCTTGGCAGGGCCGTTTCCGCGTAACCCGGAATTACGGCGGTGACTTGCGCCTGCACTCAAGGGGGGAATCAGCTCGGGTTACGTTAGTAAGTGTTGAGACTTTTAGGGAAATTGAAAATGCTTCAATTCGACCGTGTGGAAATTGACAAAGACACCGGATCAGTTTAGGCTGCACACGAGTCACAACGCAAGAATATCGACCTTCGCTTGTTCGTGCTTGTTTTGTCCAGAACTGGCCGCGCAGTTGGTGTCGATCTATGTCGCAGTGCGCTTTATCTAATTTGGAAAACACGCCTTTAGTGGATGTCTGTGACATCCGAGGCAATCGAGGCCCATTCAAAGATTTGCGGGAGGAGGCCTTCTTGGCCTTGGGTTATCCATCCACCCGCTTCTCCATGATGTGACTGACTGGTTCTCTCCAGTCTAGTCTAGAATCTAGATGGGTGAGGGATGTGTTGTGTGAATACCACATCATCATCACCAGTGCTTGTCATGGCGTGTTACTCCAGAAGCATGCAGCAAGAGTTGCAACTTTCTTCAGTCCAGCGTCGTTCTCGGCTATTTATTCGTTCTCTCCTTACCCTCCGTAGAGACCCCTAATGCGAGTTGAAGAGTCTGTCGTCCATTCTCCCTAAAGCTTTTTGTGTTATAAAAAAAAATCTACGAGTCCTCAGCTGATGGACATGTTTCGGTGCCAGTTGTCAGAAGCACTCGCTGTCGTCTAGTGCATACCGTCTATCTATTAACGTTACAGTGCTTTTCGACAAGTTTTTATAAACTAATACCTCATTCCATAACAATGCAGCCGCGATACGACAACAACGTCTCGGGCTTTGGTTCCACTTTCACTTCTCCCAGCTCAAGCCAGGTCACCGATACCTCGCATCCCTCGCATCCCTCGCATCAATCCCTTTCCCGTCACACCCTCCCTTCCTCCCATCCCTACGCAAATGACGGCCGCACCCACCCCTCCGACGCTCAGATCCGCGACGCGGCTCCACGGCCCGCCATTGCCGCGGGCTACCCCCGTCCTTTACAGTCTCACACCCACCAAACGGCGACTGCTGCAGCTGCAGCGGCAGCGGCATCGGCGGCGGCGAAGGGAGCAATGTCGGAGGCGATGCTAGCGGCGGCGGCAGCAGGGTCGAGAGCAACGGCGGAGGCAAGGGCGGCTGCTGCGGCAGCGGCTGCGGCGGCGGCTGCCGCGCAACAGGGGCCACGCGTCGTCCCAGGATTCACAGCAGCTGCGCCTGCATACCCAGGTGGGCCTTCGCGCTTCGCGCCGCGGGCTATGGCGGAGCAAATCGACGACGACGCGTCCGACAGTGGCGGAAGCGGGGACGACCGGGAGGAGCGGATCTCGATCCGCGCGCCTGTCAGCGTAGACTATGATTACGAGGACGACGACGAATTCGCGGAGGAGCCGGATGCGCGCGGAAGCGGGAGCCGCGGGACGCCGAATCCCCCGCACGGGCGCGGTGGCAGGGGGGAACGGTCCGGCGCGCGCAGATCTCCTCTTGGCGGCGGCGGCGGCGGCGGCGGTGGCCGCGACGACGATGCGGAAGAGGAGCGGATGTCGATCCGCGCGCCGCTGAGTGTAGACGACTGGAACGGAGACGAGGACGAGGAGGACGAGGAGGGCGAAGAGGAGCGGGTGTCTATTCGGGCACCGATTAGCATGAACGATGACGGTGACGGTGACGATGACGATGACGATGATAGAAGCACCGCGAACACGGAAACTACCGGCGCCGGCTCGAAGAAGCCGCCGTCGATTCACGCGCCGCTGAGCGTTGAGGGCGACGACGAAGAGGATGACGACTCGTGGCTGAAACGGCTCAGAGCGCGGACCAAGGGCTCGGGTACGCGGAGCACCACCGGCGGCGGAAGCTCCGCCGGTCGCAGGCGCACGCGGCGGCCGTCAGGGGAGTTCGACAGGCGGAGCCGTCTTAGTGCGGAGGTGTATGGGGGGAAGAAGGTGGGTCGTAGCAAAAGGAAGGATTCAATAGGGGGAGAGTTTCCGGGTTTCGGGTTTGGTCCGGGCGGGGTGCTGGGCGTGGGGGATCTGACCGTTCCGCGCGCGCGGATCACTTCCGACGCGGAGGACTTCTCCGCTCCCCCGGCCGTGGTGTCGGGAGACGCGGAAGACGGGGAATCAGAAGAGGAGTCGGGAATCTCGTCCGCAGGTCCGCGGTCTCCGCTTGTGGGGAGTGGGCGGGGGAAACTGGAGGCGAACGCCCGCGGGTATGCGGAAGCCTCGGGCTCCGCTGAGACCAGCGGAGCGGATGGGCGGGCAGAAGCGGGGGAGGCGCAGCCAGTGGCGGAGGCGGAGGTGTGGCGGCTGGTGGCGGACGTGATGACGCGGAAAGAGCAGGAGAAGGTGCGCGGAAGAGAGTCGGGCGGGGATAAGGAGAGCGGTCGCGGAGGCGTAGCAGAGAGAGATAAGCTCGCGGCAGCCATGTCGGACGGCGCAGGAAAAGCAGGAGAATCTGCGGCGGAGGAGTCCGGGGTGGGGGCGACGGAGGGGAGCGGAGTGAGCGGAGGAGCAGGCGCAGCGGAGGGGCAGGCGGAGGAGACGGAGAGGGGAGGCGCGGTCACAAGCGGCGGGCGGCCAGCTAGCTCGGAGTCTCTGGGCGGGAGTCTGGGAGGGACGGATACCCCGAAGGGTACTATTGTCGATGAAGCTATTGCAGTAGGAGGTGAAGGTTCAACATCTGGTGCTGAGCCAATGACTATTCGGGCGAACGAAAACGGGAGTGAGGCGAAGAGCAGGTCTGTGGTTACCAGCAGCGCAGGGGCGACTGAGGGCGGGAGCGAGTGCAGCACCGCGGAGGAGATCGCGCATCTGCACGCTGACCTGGGGTGGACGGAGGACGAGGGCACGAGTCGCGGCGAGCGCGAGCAGGGAACGCGGGAGGGACGTGAGGCTGTGAGGGGTGGAGGAGAGGTGGCGAATGCGGGTGAAGGGAGTGAGGAATCGGGTGAGGGAGGAGGCGAGAGGAAGGAGGCGGAAGAGGAAGGAGGCGAGTTGGCACCGTTTGAGGATGCCAGTGCTGCTGCCATGCTGCTAGTGGGGGGGACGGCGTCAGCAGCAGGAGTAAGAGGAGGCGCGGCGGCAGCAGCAGCAGCACAAGGGTTTAGCGACAGCAGCAGCTACACCAGTGCTGGAGACTCCTTCTCCTTCGGTGCTCCAACTCCTACTGCTGCCTCTGCCACCATTGCTGCTGCTGCTGCCGCTGGCCCCGCCGCTGCCGCCACTGCCGCCACTGCCAGTGCCATTGCAGGCAGGGGGGCAGCAGCACCTGGGGTCAAGAACAAGCCCCCTCCGGTGAAGCTCACGCCACGACTCGCACCTGCTGCTGCAGCGGCAGGTGTGCGTGAAGCATCGCCCGGCGGTGGCAGCACTCCCAACAGCGCTCGCGCTGAGGCGTGGAGAGGCGCGTGGAGCAGACCTCTTGCTCATGCTGTGGCCCCCGTCAGGGGTGCTGCGAACGATGCTAGTGCCGCCGCGGCTGCTGGTGCTGCTGGTGGTGGTGTGCGTGGTAGTGGTGGTGCTACGGGTCGCAGCGTTGTGGCGCGGGGAAGGAGGGAGGGCGTGCTGTGGCTGAGCCGGCACAGGAGGATACGCAGTGGGGAGGGAGTGGGAGGAGCGGGAGGAGGCGGTGCCAGGGACGGTGGCGAGGGCGGCGAAAAAGGGAGGAGCGTGGCAGCAGCTGGGGTTGGTGTGACGCGCAGTGATGAGAGTGGAGCGGTGTGCTTGAGGGGGAGTAGTGGGGGGGAGGAGGAGGAGGAGGAGGTGGAGAGCCGCCAGGGCTCGAGAGAGGCAGGTGGACGGAGGAACGGGAAGGCGGAGAGAGGAGGCAGAGGCGGAGAGTCCGCAGGAGCAGCAGCAGCAGCAGCAGCAAAGGCAGCAGCACTAAAGGGCTCACTCACAGCGGAAAAGTCAGATTTAGCAGCAGCCGCGGCGACAGTGCGAGCCGATGCAGAGGCAGTAGCAGCAGCGGGAGCAGCAGTGGCAGCAGCAAGGGTGCAAGCGGAGGCGCTGCAGAGGCTGCGCGTGCTGCTGCTGCGCGTGGCCATGCGCCTGCAGCAGCCGCGCACCCACCCCCTGGTGGCGCAGACCCTCTACAGGCTGGAGCTGGCGGAGAGAATGAGCGCCCGGGGGCGCGCAGGCGCAGAGGCAGGCGCGGGGGGGAGGGGAGCGGCGGGCGGAGCAGCGGGGGGGAGGGGGAGGGGCGGGAGGAGATGGAATGGTGGGTCGGAGGGTGAGAGAGATGGTGATGGAAGAGGCACAGGTGAGGGCGGGAGAGCTAGAGGAGGAGAGCTTGGGGAGTGGGCAGCTGGGGCTGCATGTGACTGTGCTGGTGCTGGGGCGCAGGGCTGTGGGGAAATCCGCCACTGTGCGCTCTCTGCTGGGCCTGCGCGCTCCTGCTGCTTCCCACCCTGGGCATGACCGTGACCATGTGACTGGGAGTGCGATTGCGAGTGCAATTGCGAGTGCGAGTGGGATTGACGGTACACATGCAGGCGTTCTTGCAGGGAAGAGAGATGAGCGAGGTGAGGGAGGAAAGGGAGGGGAATCGAGAGCGCATGGGAAGGCGGAGGAGGCAAGAGAGCAAGGCGGGGATGGATCAAGGGGGGTGGCGCAGAGGGGTGGTGGTGAGACGTCGGAGGGACAACACCGGAGCTGGTTGCAGCGTGCGCTGGGTAGTCTAGGTTTGCAGATGGGTTGGGATGGGCATGGGCAGGGAGGGATTGAGGAGGTGGCGGGCGAGGTGTGTGGGGTGGGGGTGCGCGTGCTGGAGCTCCCAGGGCTGGGCACTGCAGGGGCGGACATGGCGGGTAATGAGCGCGTGCTGCTGCAGCTTAGACGGTTTTTGGCGGAGGAAAGGTGTGGGGACGAGAGGAGGGGAATGCGACAGGAGCAGCAGCAGCAGCGGCAGCAGCAGCAGCAGAAGAAGGAGCGGAGTCAGGGGCAGAAGCAGGTCAAGTTGTCCTCGAATCCGCAGCGACAGAAGCCGCTGCAGCAGCAGCAGCACGACCACCATCACCACCACCATCACCATCACCATCACCATCAAAATCACCAGCAGCAAAAGCAGTGGTGGCAGCACATACCCCTGCTTCATCACCTGCAACAGATAGCCCAGCACAACAACCACAGCCCTAGGCATCAGCAGCAGCAGGGATCAGCAGCATCATCATCATCATCAGCAGCAACAGTAGCAGACGTGGTGTTGCTAGTGGACCGATTGGACTGGGAAGCAGGGCAGGGAGAGCAGCTAGAGGACCTAGAGATGCTATCCCGCGTGGGCGCGGCCCTGGGGCGAGACGTGTGGCGCAGCGTGGTGCTCGTGCTCACCCACGCCGCTGCCGCCACGCCCACTGCCGCAGAGGCGCGACAGATGGTGCTGGCAAAGCGGAGAGAGCAGAGGCAGCGGCAGGGGAGAGCGCCGGGGGAGGGGGGTGGAAAAGGGGAAGGGGAGGGGCGGGGCGATGGGGACGGGGAGGGGGACGGCGAGGTGGAGCGGCAGCAGGTGTGGAGGGCGCAGCAGGCAGCGCTGGGAGAGGTGGTGGCACGGCGCGCGCAGTACTTGCAGCAGTGCATCCGCGTGGCTGCTGGCGACCAGCGCCTGTGTAACCCTGTGGTGGTCGCTGAGAATGGCGTGCCCTGCTGGAAGGCTGGCGACGGGATTGGCAGCAGCACTGCCCCTGCTGCTGCTGCCGCTGGTGGTTCAACCAGCACTACCAGCAGCAGCAGCAGCAGCAGCAGCAGCAGCAGCAGCAGCACCAGCAGCAGCAGCACGGCGTGGCGGGAGCAGTTGTTGCTGTTGTGTGCAGCGAGCAAATGCCTGTCCCTTGCACACGCCTCCGTCGCACCCGCACACACACACACCACACAAACCGCACAACCTGGCATCAGCACCACTGCAGCCTCTGCAGGAAGCACAACGAGCCCTCGCGGTGGCAGCAGCTCTCACTCTTCCTCCTCCGCCTCCTACTCACCCCCCTCCGTGCTGCCACCGCTCCCCTGCCTGCTCTCCTCTCTGCTCAGCACCAGGCGTCCCCTGCTGCTGCCTGTGGAAGAGCGCGCATGGGGGGGGGGCGCTGGGGACGAGGATGACGCCGGGCACATTGGGCGCGCAGGCAGGGAGAAGGGCAAAGGGGGGGCTGCGGGGAGAGGGGGGAGGGGAGGCAGGGGAGGCGGACGGGGAGGGGGAGGGGGAGGGGGAGGAGGAAGAGGGGGAGGAGAAGCGTCGGGGTTTTGGGCGGGAGGGTCGTTCCACCACTTGTCGTCGCATGAGCAGCAGCTGCTGTCCGCTGCTCAGATGAGGCGCTACCGGGCTGAGCTCGCTGCGTGGGAGGGACGTGCAGAGGTGCGGCGGAGGGGTGGGGGTGGGAGAGTGGGGGAACGAGGTGGGGTTGTTGTATGCGTGTGTGGGAGCTACTTTTGAGTAGCCTCAAAAGTCGTATGCAGGAGTGCTTGGAGGTGTGTGCTGGTAATGGAGGTGTGTGCTGGTAATGGAGGTGTGTGCTGGTAATGGAGGTGTGTGTAGGTGCTAAGTTGTGGTGTCATCTTCTAGTGTTGCATCAGTTGTCCCACCCCATGGTGTCTCGCTCTTACTGTCGATCCCTGCCGCATCTCTCCTCCCCACGTCCATTGCTTCCCGTGCTTCTAACCCCATTACCCCCTCGCCCAGCCTCTTGCTGGATATCTCAAACCTCAAACCCTTTTCCTCTTGTAGTTTCCTACCCCATGTTCTCCAACCCACCCCACCCCCGTATTCTCCACACCCCCTCCCGTCCCCCCCCACCGCTGCCCCCCCAGCGGCTCTTGTGCAAGGAGCAGAGGCGAGTGAGGCGGCAGCAAGCACGGCTGAGGCAGGTGCATCGAGCAGGAGGCGGAGGGGCAGCAGCAACAACAGGCGCAGGGGCAGGGGCAGCGGGAGGGGAGAGAGCACGAGGGGGGAACGAGCAGCAGCAGGGGCAGGGGCAGGGACAGGAGCAAGAGCAGGTGGTGAAGCAAGGGGGGGGAGTTGTGGGAGGAGCAAGGCTGAGAGAAGGGAGCAACAGCAGTGGCAGTGGCAATGGCAATGGCAATGGTAATGGTGGGAGGAGGGAGAGGCGGGAGAGAATAGCGGTGGCGACAGCAGAGGTGGAGTTGCCTCCGTCGTTTCACTCGGACTGGCCTGCACACCACTTCAGACACGTCACCCGGCGCGGGGAGGTGAGTGGGTGCGACGGGGGCAGATGGGTATGATGCGGGCAGGCGGGTGTGTTGATGGGAACAGAATGGGTATGATGGGTGTCGTGTCTGTGACGGGTTGTGGTGAGTGTGACGGAGGACTGGAGGGAGAGCTGAGAGCACGTTTGTTTGTCCCCCCGCCCCGCCCCCCAGGAGGACTGGATACTGGGCCTGCTCTGCTCATCTCATCTCCTTTCCATTCCACCATGCGTATTCTCTCTTCCACAGTTCTCATTCTCCTCTCCTTGTGTCACTCGCGCTGCTCACATCACACGAATTCTTCAACCGACTCCCCCCCTCTTCCCCCCGTCGCCCTCGCTCGCTCCCCCCTGCCCTCATTTCTTCCTTATCCCTTTGCCCCCTATCCCTCATTTCCAAGGTCAACCTTACTTGAAGAAAGAGTTACCATCCTCACCCTCGGCGTCCCTAAGCCCTCCTGCTCAACCGTCCCTTCCCCCATTTCCCCTTTTCCCCGTCCCATCATCCCCCCTTTTTCCCCTTTCCCCTCTTCCCCTTTCCCCGCTTTTCCATTCCCCCTTTTCCAACTTTCCCCCTTCCCTCCACCCCCCCTTCCCCCTCCCCTCCTTCCCCCTCCTCCCACTGCCCGTTCCCTCGTGCCCCCCCCTTTCCCCGTCTACCGCAGGTGAGTGCGGTGTTCCCGCTCTCCCTGCCGCCCCCCTGGCCGGTGTGGGAGCATGCGCCGCCCTTCAACGCCCTGCTGCTCGACCGCTGCCTCGCCGCCTCCTCTCGCCTCCCCGCCGCCGTCACTGCACAGGTGGGGAGCGGGCGGTGGGAGAGAGGAGGGAGGGAGGGATGGAGGGAGGAAGGGTGTGGGAAGGGAAGGGGAATGGAAGGGAGGGAGGGAGGGTGGGGGATAGGAGGGCGGGAGTGTGGGAAAGGGAGGGTAGGAGGGAGAGGTGAAGTGTTGGAGAGAGGGCTGGAAGCATGAGAAGAGGGAAAAGTCGGGGCGGGGCTCTTGTTCTATCTCTTCCTCTTCCGCACTCCCCCCCTGCCTTTGGCCCTTCCCACAGCCCCCTCCCTCGCTTCTCATTTCGTTCACGTGCCGTCCTTTTTCAACACAAGTCGTTCACTCTTCATTCTGCCTTCATCCATCGTCACGCATTGTCCTTTGCTGCTTCTCTCCACAGCAGATATTTGTTCGCGTCTCTGCGTGGTTCCTGCGCCTCAAAAAGAGGCACCGCTACCATCTTTGCGTGCTTCCACTTCTCCCCCTGTCTCTCTTCCCGTGTTCAAGATCCCTTCTTGTCTCCATGCCCCCTCCTCCCTTCATCTCCCCTTCCTCTTATCCCGTCTCCCCCCAACCACTCCTCCACTCCCCTTCATCCTCCCCCCACTCCTCCCCTCACCTCCATTCCCTACCCCCTTCCCCTCCTCCCCTCCCCTCCTCCACGCCCTCTCCGTCTCCCCCCCGCTTCCCCCCCCCCCCCGCCTGGTGCTCCAGCTGGTCTCCTCCAAGGCTCTCTTACTGCTAGACGCAGATCTCTCTGCCTCCCTCCGCCACGCCCCCCGCTCCCTCGCCAATCCCGTCACCACCGCTGGACTCGAAATCTGCCTGCGCCGCACACCCGCCTGGGCCCTCATGATGATGGCCGCGGGAGGGGCAGGGGGAGGGGTAGGCGGAGGGGGGAGAGGGGAAGTGTGGGGAGCTGGTGGGACGGGGTCGAGGATAATCAGCAGAGGTGGCAGCAGCAGACTGCAGGGTATTGGGGCTATTTCGGGCTTTGATGATTGGGGGCAGGGTAGAGGAGTGAGGGAAGGGGAGGCGAGAGGAGGGGGAGGGGGAGAGGCAGGAGGAGGGGCAGGGGGAGGGGGGAAGGAGAGGGAAGGCGGGCTGTTGAAGGCCCTGTGGCGAAGCTTTTCCCGAGGTCCCATGGATGCAACGAAGGTTGCTTCTGCTGCTGCTGCTGCTGCTGCTGCTGCTGCTGCTGCTGCTGCTGCTGCTGCTGGTGCTGGTGCTGGTGCAGGGGCTGCACGGTCGACAGCAGCAGCTGAGCCTGGATCAGATGGGGCAGCAGGCGTGGGAGCAGCAGGAGGCGCAGCAAGACTGCGAGCAGGGGAGTCTGGGGCAATAGGTTCAGCTGCCTCTGCTTCCTCGCTGCACGCCAGTTCTAGTGTGCGGGGAGCAGGTGGGGCTGCGTCATTGGAGTTGGGAGCAGCAGCAGCAGCAGCAGCAGCGGCAGCAGCAGCCACGTGCACAGTGCGGTCGGATGTGAAAGTGTCGCTGTTCCGAGGCAACAGGACGGCGGCTGGTGTGGCTGTGGCCATGGGGAGTGACTATGGAGACGGGATTGCAGCGGGCGCAAAGGTAAGCGTCTCGTGTTCGGCGGGAAATGTACAGTGGGCCATAGGATGGGGATGGGGATGGGGATGGGGATGGTGATGGGGATGGGGATGGGGATGGGGATGGGGATGGGTGATGTCAAGACGGGAGTGTTGTGTGGTGCTACCTTGGATGAAGGGATATTATCTATCAGTGCCAATTTCAGCTTCACTGCATGCATCCTCCCAGGCTGTTTTTGAGTTTTCCTTTCCCACGTTGTTGGCCTATCTAGGAAGTGGTGTTAAGCTGTCCTCGTCTGTGTGAGTAGAACCCATCTCCCTGGATGGAACCTCTTGTTTCTCTGTCCCTCGGTTCTCCTCTTGTTGTTTCCTCTGCATCATCGCAGCTGTCGTCGCGAGTGGCTGTGGGACGGTGTGTGCGAGTGAGTGGGTCAGCAGCAGCAGTGCGGTGGGGGCAGGAGGAGGCAGTGGGTGCCACATGCAGACTACAGGTGAGCTTCCCTATGTTTTGGTCTTTTAGTCAGGTTGGGCCTTTGGATGAAACCAGAAAAGCGTGAGAAACCTCCTGCTCCCATTCCAAATGCCTTTCCAAGCTGCAAAACTGTGTTGTTGGCAGATGCGTTGACAGCATGTGGTTTGGCGTGAGCCAAGCTCTGTCCTTGCCGTGTGCCATGTTGCAGCGGCCAGCAGTGTCGTTTGACATTAGCAAGCCGGAAAGACGGTGTTGGCTGCAGCAGCACAAGCCACACTTCACGCCCACACCCCTCCTTTCCCCCCACACCTTGCCGTGTCCTGTTTCAAAGGGCCTCACAATCAGAACCACATTCGCAATATCGCTCATGCTGTCTCCTCCCCTCTTTCCCCTTCCCCACCCTCCTTCCCCTCTCCCCTTTCCTCCCACCTTGCGCCACTGATCCTCACCATCTCTATTCGGTACCAACCTATTCCTATGCTCTCTCAGGTGCACGCTCCTGCCACCTCCTCCTCCTCATCTGCTTCCTCCTCCTCCACGTCGTCACGGGCCATGGCAGCAGCAGGCCTCTCACTGCTGCACTGGCAGGGCGCCACCATATTCGGGGCAGTGCTGGAGGCACAGCTGCCACTCGTTGCCCCGCCTGCTGCAGCGCTCTTCCAAAAGGGAGACCGGGGCGTACCTGGAAGGAGCAGTAAGGGCAAGGGCAGTGCTGTAACGAGCAGGAGGAGCAGCATTGGCCATGGGTCTAAGGCCAGGGGTGACAGCAGCAACAGGAGTGGCGACAGGAGCAGTGGTAAAACTAACAGTGGCAGCATTAGCAGTAACACTGGCAGTGGTGGCAGCGTGCCCTCGCTTCGAGTCCGTGCGAGTATGGACAGTCGGGCTGTGGGCGGCATTTCTGTGCGAATGTCTGCCGGGGGGAACTATCACTTGCACCTTCTCACTGCTCTCGCTGCTCTGCCCCCACTAGTGCGCTTCTGGTTGTGCCGACCTTGCGATGAACGGGGTGAACTGGATGAAGGATCGGAGGAGGTTACAGAAGAGGACGAAGAGATTGGAGAGGATGGTGGTGAGGCACTGTAGTTGAGTTGAGTTGTAGCGCGATATGAACGTACACCAGTAGGATGGAATAATGAAGTGGGCGAAGTGTTGGTTTAAGGGTGACTAATGGGGCTGAGGAGGAATGAGAGATAGTAAGGATGTATATGATTAAGTAGAAGCATATATTAGTATTAGCATATTGTAGCCACTATTTTGTTTAGCTGAAACAATATTCGTAGGGGTGGTGTTCGCGAATTTCACTCAGGCGAGTTTCTGGCATCATCAACAGCGATTGTCTAAATACAACGTATGATCCCTGATACGCTGGTTTGGCAATCAGCCGTCATCCCTGTCCTGCAAATGAACGCCAAGTGCAGTGGCTCAGGTCAGGTGGAATTCGCGCGCTGCACAGATCAGCGATGTGATGGGGTCCAGCTTGCACCTGACACTGTTCGTACGTACGAATTCGGTGACTTCCTCTCATGTACATTGTTTTTGGACTCACAACCAGGTTCTCTGTATTTAAAAAGCCTCCTCCAGTCCCGTCTCGTATCTTCCACGAGACTCTCGAAGCGCGTCGTGACTTCCGGGAATGCTCGGCGCAAGTCCAGGTTCGTCGGAGCATGTGTGCCCCCAGCCGATTCACGGCCGCCGCTCGTCACTTCTTGGTCAGCGGAAGAAACGCAATCCACCACACCAACCCCCGTACCACACGGCTCGTCGATTCCAGCTAACTGGCTTCGTTTCATCTCCCACTTGATTCTTGAACCCTGATCCCTCGATATCCGTTCCCGTCCGAGTCAGCTTCCTGTTCTCGCGGGACGTCACGGCAACCCAGCCCACCACAAATCTCTTGGCACGACACCGCCCAACCACTCACCCAACGGCCAGCTGCGGTTCGTCGCTGCCGCCGTGGCCCGTGCCGTGACCCGTCCCTTCAGGCGAAAATTCATCTCCCCTTCACCAAAACTCCTTCACTGCTGGATTTGGCGCCGCGGGGCGGAGGGCTGGTCCTCTCCGAGCATTTCACCAACATAAGGCAGAACCGAAAGCATTTCAAGAGTCATTTCTAGGCAGTTGGCAGTTAGCATTTCAGAAGCAGCAGCATCGAATTGGACCAGCACAGTCCAGCCACGCACTGAGCTTATTCTTCGTCGTGAGAGCTTGTCCCAAAGCCAGAACAACTCTTTATTCCCGCTTGAAACAACTCGAGATCAGCCCGCGAGATCAGACCGCGAACCTTATTGATGTCTGGTCTTTCGGTGGTAATTAGTGCAAGTCGGTCCCTCAGCTTCTCCAAATAGCGCCTTCGAATCAGTCACACGGAGCCGCACGTTAGGGAGCAAGTAGCAATGGTTCTTACAGCGAACGATGATGTCTGGCTGGAGGGAGAGGTGATGCAGTGGGAGCAGCAAGAGCGGTCGGGGATGCAGAAGCTTCGCGAAAGACGCCTCGCGAAAATAGCCGCAAAAGCAGCGGCTGCTGGCGTCATTAGGACCTCAGCCATCCGTCCGCCCTGGGCAGGCGGCACGCTCGGACGCAAAATCCCATCCGCTGCCCCCTGGTCACCCTTCAGCCGAAACGTTTCCGCCGCGGCTGCCCGAGCCGCCCGGCCGTCGCAGGCAGCGCCTGAACCAGCGATCGACGATGAGCCGGATTTCCAGGACGAGTGGGCCGACGTGCGCGCTTCGTTCGACCTCACCCTGGCGGAGTACCGAAAGACGTTGAAAACCCGATCGCCCAAGATCCGAGAGACACCTAACCCGCTGAAACACTTCGTTCCGCGCCTGGCTGCTGACGTGGACGCGGCGGCGACGGACGCGCAGAACCTGGCGGTGGCGCCGGCGGCGGTCGCGGGAGCAGCGACGGGGCCGTGGGATAGGCCGAGCCACCCAGGAGCAGCGGAGTGCGAGGACTGCCGCGAGGCGGAGCAACGGGCGACCGTGGCTTACCTGCTGAACCAGCGGGGGTACGACGCTTGCCGGCGAGTGACGGAGTGGGTGTATTCCCGCGGCATCCCCTCAGGCGAGTATGAATTTGTGGAGGTCGGCGTTCCTCCCGCCAGTGGCGCTCTCTCACCCTCGCCCCAACCAACCAAGCCACAACACCTCGTACAGCCGCATCACCAGCAGCAGCAAACACCAAGCTCAGGAAAAGCAAACTCAAAGGACAAACCACCTGTACAGCAGGACCAAAAGCAGCAGGTAGTAATAGTGGACATAACCTTTCGCGCGCAGTTCACACTCTCCCGCCCAACCCCCGAGTACCAGGCGCTATGGTCCGCCATCCCCAGGGTTTTCGTCGGCACGCCCGCCATGCTGCGCAAGCTGCTTGCGCTGCTCATCGAGGCCATGCGCGTGTGCGTCGCGTCGCAGAGCCTCCATCTCCCCCCCTGGCGCCGATCGCAATACATGAACTCCAAGTGGCTTGCGCCTTCCCGCCGCCGAGGGGCCGCCGCTCCCCCCGCCTCCGCGTCCCCCTCCCCCTCCCTTTCGCATGCTCCTCCGGCCCTCTGCCCCATGCACCAGCGCGAGGCGGAGGCGGGGGACGCGTGGTGCGGCGCATGCAGCGGAAGCAAGTCAGGCGCGGAAGCCGTGACGGGCGGCGGGGAGAGCGGAAGCGGTAGGCCGCGAAGACTGCGCGCTGCCGGCGCGACGGCGGGGGATGGCGGGTCCAGCAGTTGCGGCAGCGTCAGCAGCTACGGCGCGAGCAGCGTGAGCAGCAGCGACGTCAGCACGTTCGGATGCAGCTGCCGCAGCTGCAGCAGCGAGCAGGCGTCCATGATGCTCAAAGCCAACGCCGTCGCGAGACTCGCGGCGAACCTGCTCCCAACAAGCAAGGCCGTCCTTACCCCTGCCACTCTCCCAGGAACTCTGGCCTCAGCACCCCCCGCTACTACTAAGCCAATAGCATCAGACTGCAGCAGTAAGGAGGCGGGCCTCTTAAAGATAGCGGGAGCAGCTGCGACTACAGCAGGGGAGAGCGGAGTCGCCGTAGCGAATCCCGCCGTGGCCGTTCCCCCATCATCTCCGAGATTCATCCCGGTAGATGCTGCGTTATTGTCAGACCTGGCTACAGCCATAACTCGGCGACTGCCGAGCAGCACGGGCATTCGCAAGCAGCAGCAGCAGGGCCAGCAGCTGTCCGCGTCAGTAGCAGCGGCGCGGCAGCAGCAAGGATTCGACCTCGGACGGGGCGCAGGCAAGCGCAGCTCCTCGAACAGCAGCAGTGCAGTAGTCCTAACGCCGGACAATGCTCCTAGTAATCATGATGAGAGTGACGGAGCGCCGTTCTGGGAGCTGCTGTTGCCTGCTGGCTCCACCATCACCCCCGCCGCCGGCCACGCGGAGGTGAACGCGGCGTTGTTCATGCGCCAGCGCAGTGTCGGCGCGCGCAACAATTCCCCCGCCGCCGTTAGCGCGGCAAACTATCGTTCTCCTACTAGTAGCGGAAGCGCGTTTCAGGGAGGTGCTACCACCAGCGACGCCTGTGGCACGATGAGTGCGGTAACCACTGGTCCAATTTCCATCGCCAATCGCAGCAGCCGTGTTCGCAAAGCCGGTCTGCTCAGCCTTCAGCTTCGAGCCTCGTCCGTTCCTGACATACGAAACGGGTCCATGCTCCAGGTGGGAGCCCGGGTAGCGGGTCGACCAAGCTAGCAGCTATGCAAGCCTCGGATTTTTTTTTACCAAGAGGAGCCGCGCGACGGTAGCCAACATCTTCCTGATCAATCCTAGTAATTGCGCGACGCGGAAAGATTTTGTAGGCTAACATGTGAGGCATCTCACCGCAGCAACGGCGTCGTCACGTCATCCATTGATCGTGCCTGGCTTCCCTAACCCTAGCCACTGTACCCCAAGGCGAGAACCACTTGACCACCACTAATCACTGTACATAGGTTCTTTCTTCAACTGTGTGAAGCAGTGTTATCCTTATAGACTAAGTTGTACAGTTCGACCCAACCTAGAGCTAATGTGATCTTTTTACATCAAGGTTACGGAAGTACCTTTGGAACCCTAACATGTCAGAAGTTGAATCCGTATACAGGGTTACGGGTTCCTACCATGTCGCGAATAACCAGGGAAGCATCGTCGATGACGAAGGTCTGTCGAATGCAATATACCATATAGTTTCACCCTGTGGTATCTACCCCAATAGATTTTGAATTGGTGGTAGTTCTGGACTGGTTCGTGGTAATGGATAATTCGAACTTTCTTTTGCGATTAATCCGCAACGAAATCCAGAAGACACCGACAACATCTGCGACTGCACTCCTCTTACGAACTAACATACCCTCGTAAACTCGGGGGTCTCCGTTTCATCAAACTCCGATATCGAGCTCAAACTGGGGTGAACAATTTCTGAAAACAGATATCCCCCCCTTTGCCAGGCATCACAACAGCCGACAAACCCTCCGTATTTATCGGACACCCCTGGAATGTTGCTTCTTCGTCGGGACCGAAAACAAATCACGAATCGTCGGAGAAATCAGACAAGCAGTCATCTTTCATGTACTAACGTGTCACGCTTGATGTGTTTATGTTTCATGTATCACTCTTCAGGTTGGTGAGGAGCGGTTCAAGGCGGTGATGTGACTAAACCGATGTAGAGTGCACAACATCGTACTCAACCGCCTTTACACGGCGCAGAGACCGAACCCAAGGCACCGCCACACCACCACCAACCGAACCAGCCTTTCCTGTGAGAACGGCAAGCTCTCTCTGACACCAGTTGCGTTGCCGTATCGAGCAGGCCAACGCGCGGGCGGGAAGCCCACACAAATAGGGGCACGGACGGAAATCTGTCGGTTTGGTTTAGCTGGGCTCGTTCCTGGTCATGGTTTTTCCAGAGTCCAGACCAGGGGTTCAACGCACTGAGGTGGGAGGGGCGCCCAAACAAACAAATTGTGCACACACCTTCAAACTTGCCCTACCTGCCACCCCACAGCACCCCTCCCAAACCCACACTTATCCACTGTTCCACCACCGAACGATGCTTGGTTCTGCGGCACACACTGTCGGGAATCTGCTAGGGGTAGCGTTTTCTGTCACATCTGGAATCTTCATTTCTTCATGACTTGCTGTCGGGAGGGATACACTTCTACTTGGAGGGTCTGCCCTTAGTTATTCTTAGAAATCAAGGGTTGGGATTGGGTGTTTGGAGCGCCTCACCTTACTTCCAATGTGCTGACGGAGCGCTGGAGTCCGAGCCAGCCAGAACCAGAAGTTTCAGAGATCAAAACTCCTCAAGTTCAGAAAATATGCTGTACCTTCCCTTGATCACACACACTGCTTCACCTTGTTGCTGCCAGCCACCCATGCCTGAACTCACCGCCGCACGCAAAGAGTGTCTGTGCACGAGTACATTACTGTGCTGTACTTCATTAGTGATGGCACACGGATGGCGTGACACTTCCCATCCCATCCCCACGCTTCGCAGTGTCAGCAGCCGCGTTCCTGCTTTTTCCCAAAAACGTCAAACACGAACTTGTAGTGATAGCAGCAGGCTCGCTCCTAGAATGGATCGTCGCTTCCTTAGTTCGTCGCGGCATCGTCTCTACCTCAGGTAGAGAGGGTCGTTGCACGCGGGGTCTCCATTTGATAAGCAGTACTAGAAGCGCAGCAGCAGACGAAGAAACAGCAAGCAACCAGCAAAGCGGCTCGTAACATTCTGTCTTGCTCCACCGTTCTTTCCTCTCCAAATCCCGTACAGACTCTTCCATTCCAAACTTGGTTAGTATCCAGTTTGATCTTCTGCTCGTTCTTAGAAACAAGCTCTTTCTTTCCCGCGGAGACTTCGGTACGGGCCCGCGTACAGCGATTTTTTACTAGGCGCCTCAAAAGACGTAAGCGCGGGCAGTGCAGGTTGTGAGGCACTCAGAGTCCGAAAATAGTTTCTCTTTCCACTCTCTTCTCGCCTCTTCGTCTCTCGACTCGTTTTCCCCAGCCCGCGGAGAATTAGCGGATGAACCAGCGCCGTGTTGCTGAAGCGACTCCGAGTCTAGGTTGAGCGCAGGTGACGCCGCCTCTTCATCGTCGGGGCCACCGCCTCGGCCGCCGCTCCCCCTGCTGTGTCCCCTCCGCGGAGTCCGCGCGCTCCACCGCCATGCCTCGCTGCGTCCCAAGTACTAGTACCCCCCGGGCCGCGCGCTGTGACCTACTTCGCGCGGCTCCGCCAGCTAGTCGTCCCCCGCGCGGCGCTCCGCATGCGGCGGGCGCAGGAGCAGGGGAGGGCGGCCGCGTGGGTGCGCCGCGTTTCCGTTACCTCCCGAAGCTAGAATCTCCTCCGCGACGTTGTGTCGCACCCGCCAACCCGCGCCGCCTTCCTGCCGCGCGACGGCGTACGCCGCTGCTGCTGCCGCCGCTGCTGCTGCTTCTCACCCTGCAGCTGCTCCCCTCCCCGCTCTTAACTGTCGTGACTGCGACGTCCAATGACGAGTCACCGCCTGGTTAGTGCTCCCTCTCACCCCCCACTCTCTTCCTCCCTTTCCCCCATTCCCTCACCTTCCTCCTTCCCATCCTCTTTTCCCCGCAACCATCCACCCACCCTCTTTCCGTCCCTCTCCCCAGCCCTTCCTCACTCCTCGCGTACACACACTCCCCTCCGCCTCCTCTCAAGTGCCCTTTAATTTGCGGCCTTCGCGTCTCTATCTGCGCACTGTTTCGCTCTCGTCCTATATGCACCTCACCTCAGCATCCGCACGCCTTGGACTCCACATCACCTTCCACGTGCTCCTCCGAGGAGTCCCACCATCCACCCTTTTCTCTCCAACCCTCCTCCTCTTCTCCTCCCCGTCTCCACCGCTTACTCCTCCCCGTCTCCTCCCCGTCTCCACCGCTTACTCCTCCCCGTCTCCTCCCCGTCTCCTCCCCGTCTCCTCCCCGTCTCCTCCCCGTCTCCTCCCCGTCTCCCCGTCGCACCCAGACCCGCCACTCCCAGTTACGCCAGCGAGCACGAGCAGCACGAAAGCCGGGCATTCGGGTAGACCGAGCGAGGAGAAGGCTGCTCCCAGCGCGCAGCAGCATTCCCACGGCACCCGCAAGGCCTCTGGCAGACCACCCCCTCGCGTGCCGGACGGTGCTGGCGCTGCGGGTGGCTCCGACTCTCGCGGAAAATGCACCGGAGAAAGTATGTGTATTGGACTCAGCGGCGGGTCAGGGCAGTGAGGCAATGAGGCAATGAGGCAATGAGGCAGTGAGGCAATGAGGCAATGAGGCAGTGAGGCAGTGAGGCAGTGAGGCAGTGAGGCAGTGAGGCAGTGAGGCAGTGAGGCAGTGAGGCAGTGAGGCAGTGAGGCAGGTCCGATGCAAGCAGATACTCATCTCTCAGTCAGACTGAGCTGAGTACGAGAAGCAAGCAAGCAGAGCTGCTTTTATGAAAGGTTGGAAACAGTAGCTCTCGTCTCTGGACCAGGACCGTGTTGCCCAACCTCCGCTTGCCACGTCCCTTGTTTCTCGCTCTTTGCACATGCCACTCTCGTGCTGACCCGTTGGCCCGTTCCTTTTACGCCAACTCCTCCCCCCCCCCCCTCTCCCTCCTCCTCCTCCTCCTCCTCCTCCTCCTCCTCCTCCTCCTCCTCCTCCTCCTCCTCCTCCTCCTCCTCCTCCTCCTCCTCCTGCTCCTCCTTTTCCTCCTTGATCTCGCTCACTCACCCTCCTCACGTGCCTCTGCCCTCCGCCCTGTGAATGTACTCAAGAGTGTCAGAAGGCCAGTGCACATCTGAAGCAGCCTGCAACACGCCACGCGCCCACCGCCAAGCAGCCTGTCAAAGTGCGAGGCTCTGCTCTGCACGCCACTGCACTGCGACCACCTCCTAACTCCCCATCCTCACCCTCCAAAAAGAAACCTTTTTCCTCCTCCTCCTCCTCCCCCTCTTCCTCCTCCTCCTCCCCCTCTCCCCCCTCCTCATCCTGCTCCACCTCCCCCTCCTCCTGCCCTCCCTCCTCCTCCTCCCCCAGCCATAAGCCAGCCACACAGAAACCAGCAACAGGAGCAGCAGCGACAGCGACAGTGGGGGCAGGGGAGGGAGCAGGAGGAGCGGCGCAGGTGCAGGTGCAGAGCAGCAAGGCGAGCGCAGGGGCTGGGAGCGCAGCAGCGCCGCCGCTGCTGGAGAAAGTGGTAGCGTGGATCAACCAGGTCATGGGGCGCCGCAAGCGCAAGAACAAGCGCCCCCCGAGTCCTCCTCGTGAGTGCCGCATGTTGTTGAGTCGACTCAACAACAACCAGGTCATGGGGCGCCGCAAGTGCAAGAGCGGCCCCTGAGTCCTCCTCGTGAGTGCCGCATGCATACCACAGCACCCGTCGCTCTGCTCTGGGCTAATCTACGTGGGGTAGGTGGGTGGGGAGGGACCGTAAGCGTGCAGTGGGGCAGGCGGGGCGGCAGTGTGGCTGGCTGGCACCCTTGTGGGATGGGATGGGGTGTCTCAAACGCCATGCCTTGCTTTCACTTCAACGCTGCTGCGGTACTTACAGTTAGTGGAGAGCCGTGAATGTATTCTCCCTCCCCTCCCGTCCCTCCCTCCTCTTCACTCCCCTTCCCTCCCATCCCCTCCTCTCCCCTCCCCTCCCTCCTCTTCCTTCCCTGCTCCTCCTCTCCAATTCCCCCCCCTCTTCTCCCCTCCCCCCCACTCCTCCCCCCCCCTCTCCCCTTTCCTCCCCTCTCCTCTCCCCTTTCCTCCCCAACTCCACCCGTGCACCCCTTACAAGCAGCAATAGATCCGCGCCTGGGGCTGAGCCCGCCCAAGGCGGAGGTGCTGGAGGAGCAGCACGCGGACTTCAACCCGGTATCACCGTTCGTCACCGCGGGAGTCACGTTCGACCCCACCACGGGAGCGCCCGACTACTTTGGGTCCTTGGAAGCTGCTGTTGACCACTCGGAGATTCTCAGCGACCCGGGCGACCAGGGCATGTGCGGTGAGTGAGTGAATGTCTGTCGCGTCTCTTTCTCACTCCCATTCACACGCACGCACGCACACGTTCGACCCGACCCTACCACGGGTGCGCGCGCGTGACTGCTTATCGTCCTTGGAGTTGGAGGCCGCTGTTGACCACTCTCTGAGAGCCTCACCAACTCTCAGGCGAACAGGGCCTGTGCGGTGAGTGGGTGTGTTTGTGTCTGTAGCCTCTCTTTCTCACTCCCGTTCGCACACACGCGGAAACAGACGGTCTCCCTCTCTGTCAGTTGGTTTGCAGGTATGCTTTTTTTGGTCACCACTCCACCGGCCCCTCACGCCTTTCACCCTTCCCAACCCATCTCCACCTCCAGACCACCTTTCCCCTCTCCCTCCCTCCCCCCCTGCACCATCCCACTCTCCCGTCTCCCTTCCCACCACACCAACCTCGTGCTGGGCGTTTGCGGTGGAAGCAGCAGTGCAGGGCTCGTTCCGTCTGTTTACGGGATATCTTCCCACAAAGACCATGCTGGCAGTGCAGCGACTTTTGAGCTGACTCATAAGCCACCTCCCGTCTCCCTCCCCACCACACCAGCCTCGTGCTGGGCGTTTGCGGTGGAAGCGGCGGTGCAGGGCGCGTTTCGCCTCTTCTCAGGGTATTTCACCACAAAGACCAGTCTGTCAGTGCAGCAGGTGCTGGACTGCTCGGTGGGCGGGTGCCGGGGGGGATACCCCCAGGACGCGCTGCAGATGTGGACGCAGAGGAACGTGACTGTGGACGAGGTGTACCCGTACCGAGCCAAGAAGGGCGAGTGCCTGGTGAGTCGCCTGCCTCGTGAGTCGCCTGCCTGGTGAGTCGCCTGCCGGGTGAGTCGCCTGCCGGGTGAGTCGCCTGCCGGGTGAGTCGCCTGCCGGGTGAGTCGCCTGCCTGGTGAGTCGCCTGCCGGGTGAGTCGCCTGCCGGGTGAGTCGCCTGCCTGGTGAGTCGCCTGCCTGGTGAGTCGCCTGCTGCCTTTTGATGCGCCTCAGATTACAATAGAGGCGTCTCACAAGAGGAACGTGACTGTGGAGTGGAGTGGATGGAGTGTAATCCCTGCACTGCAGAGAAGACAAGGGCGAGTGCCTGGTAAGTCGTGTGCTGCTCCGCTTGCTGCTTCTATTCCGCCTGCCGGTCTGCTTGCTTGAGGGTTTTGGAAGGCCTGAAGGTTCAGAGTTGCTGAGAGGGGTTGAGCGCGGTGCAGTGGGTTGCATTGCATTGCAGGAAGCCATATCGTGTGAAGTGAGTAAGAAGCTCATCAAACGGTTCTGATTGAACTGTTCTCGTCAATCTATTCTCTCGATCGTACTGCTCACATGCAGCTGTACTCGTTGACATCATATGATATGGCACTCACTCACCCCGACTTCCTATATCACACGATTCAATTCACCACCACCATGCCCTGCTTGCTTGCTTCTGCCTCTTGTGCTGCTGCCATGGCTCCTTCTCATTCCCGCCCTGCCATTCTCCCACAGCAAGTAACAGCACCGTACGGACACGCACGCCCTCAGCAACTCAGCAGCCTCTCTTCCTCTTCCTCCCACTCCTCCTCATCCCCATCGTCCCCATCATCCTCCTCCTCCGCCTCTTCCCTCTCCGCCTCGTCCTCCTCCTCTTCCGCCTCTGCGGCGTCCGTGTCCCCTCTGGGCTTTGTCTCGGGGCAATCAGTGTCAATCAACATGTTCGAGCAGGTAACGCCCCCTCTCCTCCCCTCCCCTCCCCTTCCCTCCCCGCCCCTCCCCTCTCCTCCCCTCGCTTGCTTCTCTCTAATCCGCAAGCCATTATGGGCATGCTGCAACCTGCTCGTTGCGAGCAAGCCACCCCGTTCCCCTTTTCCCTTTTCCCTTTTCCCCTTTCCACCTTTCCTGCTTCCCCTTGTCCCCTTCCCCGTTCCCCCTTTCCCCCGTGCCCGCCCGTCCCGCAGGTACCGCTGGCGGGAGCGGTGGGGCTGATGCGCGTGCTGATGAAGCAGCCAGTGGTGGTGAGCATCTACGCGTCCATGCAGGACTTTCAGGCCTACGATGTGAGTGGCTGGGGACGTGGATGAGTGGCTTGGGAAGGGGGAAGGACAGACAGTGGTCTTGACAAGGGTTTAAGATGTCTTGACAGGAGTTGTTTGATGAAGCAGCCAGTGGTGGTGAGCATCTACGCGTCCATGCAGGACTTTCAGGCCTACGATGTGAGTCCCGCCCGCACTCATGGGTGTGCTGGGAAGGGGGAAGGGGGAAGGGGGAAGGGGGGAGGGGGGAGGGGGGGGGGGAGGGGAGGGGGGAGGGGAGGGGGGAGGGGGGGGAGGGGAGGGGGGGAGGGGGAGGGGGGAGGGGGGAGGGGGAGGGGGGAGGGGGAGGGGGGAGGGGGGGAGGGGGGAGGGGGGAGGGGGGGAGGGGGAAGGGGAAATTGCTGCAACTTCCTGGGCTGGCTGCAACTTTCTATTTCCGTTTCCGTTGCCGTTGCCGTTGCCGTTGCCGTTCCCGTTCCCGTTCCCGTTTCCGCTTCCGTTTCCCCTCAGGACTCGGGCAGCGTGTACGACAACGAGGCATGCTTCGATCCGTCCGCCCCGGTGCTGGACCACGTGGTGCTGGTGACGGGGTACGCGTTCGGAGGCGCGTCGTCCAACGAGAACTACTTCATCATCCGCAACAGCTGGGGCACCACGTGGGGCATGAACGGCTACATGCTCATCTCCATGACGGCGGCTGCCGCGGGGATCTGTGGGATGACGTACCAGCGAGGGCTGTACCCTGTGCTGCATAGTGCGTGCTGGGGGGTGGGGGGTGTGGTGGTGGGTGGTGCATGGTGCATGGTGCATGGTGCATGGTGCATGGTGCATGTTGTGTGGTGTGTGGTATGCTGTATGCTGTATGGTACATTACGGATGGTGTATGCTGTATGCTGTATGCTGTATGCTGTATGGTAAATTACGGATGGTGTATGGTGGTGTGTGCTGTATGCTGTATGCTATATGCTGTACGGTGTATGGTGAATGATGTATGGTGTATAATGGATGATGTATGGTGTCTGCTGTTTGGTGTAAGGTGTATGGTATCGAATCGAAACGTCTCGAAACGTGGCTAACGCCACATGAACCCTTGCCATGTTCACCCATTCAATCTCCCGTCCCCTCCCCTTCCCCCCCCTCTGTTCCCTTTTCTCCCCTCCCCTCCCCTCCTATCGCTTCCCCTCCCCTCCCCTCTCCTCCCCTCCCCTCTCCTCCCCTCCCCTCTCCTCCCCTCCCCTCTCCTCCCCTCCCGTCCATGCCTCCCATGCTCGCCGTGCATGCACCCCCCTGGCCACCATGCAGCGAGCGACCTCTTGGACCCGTGCTCCATGTCCCCATGCGGGGCGGGCACGTGCACGCAGACCATGGTGGGCTCCTACACCTGCGTGTGCGACTACCCTCTCGTCGCCGCCTTACGCCGCGACGCCACCAAGACCTGCGTTCTCAGTACGCACGGGATGGGGGGGGAGTGGGGGTGTGTGGCTGGGGGAGTGGGGGTGTGGGGCTGGGGGAGTGTGTGTGGCTGGGGGAGTGTGTGGGGCAGCAGAGACTGGGGGAGTGTGTGTGCTGGGAGGGTGTGGGATTGCGAGAGTGTGGGTTCAATTAACCCCTCGTTGTGCTCTGAGTGTTCATGTCAATGGTTGGTGCAAGGTGCATGATGGATGGGTGGTGCAGTGCAGCGGCCATGTAAGGTTCCTGAAATATGGGTGGATGCCTCTTTCTGCCCGAGCCTCTTTCTGCCCGAGCCTCTTTCTGCCCGAGCCTCTCTCTGCCCGAGCCTCACTCTGCCCAGCCCGAGCCTCTCTCTGCCCGAGCCTCTCTCTGCCCGAGCCTCTCTCTGCCCGAGCCTCTCTCTGCCCAAGCCTCTCTCTGCCCGAGCCTCATTCTGCCCAAGCCTCTCCCTGCCCAAGCCTTTCTCTGCCCAAGCCTCCTTCTGCCGGAGCCTCTCTCTGCCCGAGCCTCACTCTGCCCAAGCCTCTCTCTGCCCGAGCCTCTCTCTTCCCGAGCCTCTCTCTGCCCGAGCCTCACTCTGCCCAAGCCTCTCTCTGCCCGAGCCTCTCTCTGCCCGAGCCTCTCTCTGCCCGAGCCTCTCTGGCATTGCTGGGCGAGTGAGCAGGCTCAGGATTTGCTCCAGCCTCTGCCTGCGTGCCCCGCCCCGCCCCGCCCTCCCCTCCCCTCCCCACCACTCTCTGCACACCACTGCACTGCACTATGGTGGGCGTAGCCGCATCCATGCGTCTGCTCTGCGTCCGCTCCATGCCCCCCCCCCCACACCAGCAGCCGTGGGCATGTGGGCGTCCCATGCCTTGAAGGCCAGCTGTATATGGATGGAGCTGCGTCTGCGCGTCCTAAAAGGCAGAGCAATGCATGAGAGCCTTGAAGGCCAGCTGTACGTGCGGTGCGGGTACCGCGCCAGTGAGAGCTCTCATGGCCGCCCATGCACAGCCTGGATGACGCACGCCTCCCCTCCCCTCCCCTCCCCTCCCCTCCCCTCCCCTCCCCTCCCCTCCCCTCCCCTCCCCTCCCCCTCTCCTCTCCTCTCCTCTCCTCTCCTCTCATCTCCTCTCCTCCCTCCACCCTCACTCACCCCTCCCCTCTGTGTCGCATGATCGTATCTCCTAACCTCGTATACCCTCCCCTCCCCTACCCTCCCCTCCCCCTCGTATCCCCTCCCCCCCACTCTCCTGCCCCTGTGCGGCAACCCCCCCGCAGAGAAGGTGTGTGCGTCGTTTGCGAGCAACCCGTGCGGCACGGGGCAGTGCGTGGACACGGGGACTGGCTCGTACACGTGCGCGTGCCCCTCCAACTACCGCACCAGTGCCCTCTCCTCTGGCCTCCTCACCTGCGCTCCCAGTGCGTGGGGCGAAAGGGGAAGGGGGAAGGGGCCAAGGGGGAGGGGGGAGGGGCGAGTAGTATATGGGGGAGGGGGGATGCGGGAAAGGGGAGGGGAGAGGGGAGAGGGGGCAAGGGGGGGGGGAGAGGGAGAGGGGAAAGGGGAGGAGGGTTGAGGTTGGAGGGGAGGGCGAAGGAGTGGGAGGGATTTGGATATGGACGCAGTTGTTGTGTGGCCTTTTGAGACGTCTCAAAAGTCCTAAAACCTGGCACTTGTATGTGCGTGGGGTGGATTGATGTTTGCTGTGTGATGAGAATCTTCCTAGGCGCGTAAGTATGCTGCGCTCACAGCAGCACAGCTCACAGCAGCACAGCTCACAGCAGCACAGCTCACAGCATCTCCGCTCTGGCTGACCTTCAAATTCCCCGCTCTCCAGCATCTCCCAATCTCCACCCTACCCTCCCGGCTTACCCCCGCCCCATCCACTGCCCCAATCCCCCCCACCGCATCCCCCTCACGTCATCCCACCATCCTCTTCGCGTCGCCCTCCCATGCGGCTGCTTTTCTGGCCCACCAGGCGGTGCCGGCACGCCCGTGAACTCGTACCAGGTGCAGGGAGGGGACACGTGCTACGGCATCTACGTCTTCCACCCCTCTCCCCGTCCTCCCTATTCCCCCTCCCCCATCCTCTCCCCCTTGCGGGCCACTCTTCACCCACCAGGCGGTGCCGGCACGCCCGTGAACTCGTACCAGGTGCAGGGAGGGGACACGTGCTACGGTATCTACGTCTTCCACGGCCTCTCAGAGGCTGACTTTCTCGCACAGAACCAGGTGCGGCGGGATGACACGTGCTAGGGGAGAGAGGCGGGACGGGAGAGGGTGGAGGAGGTGGGGTGTGGAGGGGTTGGGGGCGGGAGGGGGAAGGGTTCTTGAGAGGCCATTGAGGGGAGTGAGGGGAGTGAGGGGAGTGAGGGTCTGTGTGTGTTTGTGTCATTGCAAGGCAAGGAGCGGAGCACTAGCGGCACACAGGCACACGGTGGTGTTGGGCGGGCGCATACCCTGGCCGGCCAGGCTAGTCAACGTGGGAGTGAGCTCGTTGCTGCGACAGACAGCCTCCCGCCAACCAGTTGGGTGCGCACACCTGCATGGACCTCCCCGGACCTTTAGGACCTGCATGGACCTCCCCAGAGCTGCACGGACGTGCACGCGCATTGCGTAGGCCGTGTGGTGTGGGAGCACGGGAGCACGGGAGAACGGATGAGTATGAGCCGGAGAGGGCTGTGAAGTGAAGGCACAGGGCCCTTACACCACTGTGCTGCCAGCCAGCCAGGAGCTGCCAGCAATCGGCTGTCATGTTGCCAAAAGGGCTAGGCTACACAACACAACACAACACAACACAACACAACACAACACAACACAACACAACACAACACAACACAACACAACAGGGCCATAACGGACCTTCATGCACCAGCTCTGTGCTGTCTGCCATTCCACTGTCAAACAGTTACTCTTTGTTGCTGAATCTATGAGGCTGAGCAAGGCAGGAAGCACAGAGCCGGTAGCTGGTGGTGCGCGTCATCAAGGGAGGGCGTTGGTGACCTTGGCATGTGGTGTGGTGGTCGTGCCTTTGCTCTGCCGTCCCCCTGCCAATGACTCAATCACTCGTTGACTTGACTCTGAGCAAATGAGTTGAGATTTGAGAGCTCTGGCTCTTGTGGATCAGTTCCAGTGCGTTGCCTTACCCGGTTTCGACTCATGCTGTGTTCCGTGCTGTGCTGTTACTACGCTTTCCACACTTCCAAATCGATTCTCAGTTTTGCTCGGCTCCCACTGTGTGGCTGCGGTTTCTTTTCCCTGCATGTGCTGTGTGTACATGTGCATGTTCATGTGCGTGTGCGTGTGAGTGTGCGTGTGCGGGATGGCATCAGGATGTGGACTGCAACAATCTGGAACCAGGCACGTACGTGCAGGTGGAGCGAACCTCCAAGCCTGTGTGCTCCGTGCGCTACCCCATTTCCCAGGTATGCGTCTCCTCCTCCGCTCCTCACCTCCCTTGGCGCGTCCACACCTCCCTTTTAGCAGATGTGAGAAGCCAGTCATAGGAGTGCCATTTGCTGTGGTGAGGGAGTGGTGAGGGAGTGGTGAGGGCGTGGTGAGGGAGTAGTGTGGGAGTAGTGTGAGAGTAGTGTGAGAGTAGTGTGAGAGTAGTGTGAGAGTGGTGATCATGGGCACGGGCAGGGACCAGCACACATCCGTCCGTGGATAAGCCCTTTTACAGTCGACGTACACATCCCTCTTCACCCTCGTGCCTATTCCAACACCCCACCACTTAGGTCGTATCCCTGGCTAGTGTCAAGAGTGGTTGGTGTCATGACACCAACTCGGAAAACACAGGGAGGACTAGTCCTCCTGGTGTCAGCGAAACCGACCAATGTGATCGCGGGAAATCACCCAATGTGCCCAACATTGACACCAGGCTGGAGCCGCGCTCACACGCGGCTCCACTTGGTGTCAACCGTTAAAAACGCTTGACACCAACCACTTCTTGACACTTGCCAGGGATACGACCTTATTACAACACACACGCGCCTGCTTGTGTCATACTTGAGAACTCTCACGTGCTGTGCCGGATACAGAGTTGAAAGGGTTCGAACCGCAGCAAGCTTGAATTTGCCTGAAGGTTTTTTTAGATCTCCCCATTCCTTTGACGTTTGTGTTTGCGTGCGCGTTCCTCTCCGTGCCGTGCTGCTCCACACACCTGTCTCCTCGCGGGTGTGTTGGGTGGGCAGGTGGATGCGACAGCAGGCAACTGTGACGCCATCAACGCGCGCTTCTCCATCGATGCTGCTGCTGTCAACCCCGGCCTCGACTGTGCTAACTTGGTCCCTGGCCAGCAGGTGTGCAAGCCGTGCGTGCGTGCGTGCGTGGGTGGGTGGGTGGGTGCGTGCGTGGGTGCTCCTCGCACAACACAGTCTGTGCAATTGTGTCGTTAGCCATGTGCACGTGTGTGCGTGATCGCGTAGATGCATGCTGCAGAGCGGAGGCATGTGTTGGTGTGTGCGTGTGGGCGTGTGCGTGCAAATTTCCGTATGTGTGTGCGTACGTGTGTTTCTCCTGCTTGCTATCCCCGTCAAGCTCAGTCCCCTTCCACGCAACCCTTCCCTGGCCTCCCATATCACCACCCTGCCTCACACCCCAGATCTGTGCCCAGTGGAGCGACTTGACTTTTGAGTCGACTCAAAAGGGGCCTCCCATATCACCACCCTGCCTCACAACCCAGATCTGTGCCCAGTGGAGCGACTTTGAGAAAGGTTGATTGTTGAGACGCCACGCCACGCCACGCCACTCAAACTCTTTGTCCCTTCCCTTCCTTGGCCTCCCATCCCACCGCCCTACCTCTCACGCCAGCTCTGTGTGGAGTGGAGCGACTTTGAGCAGGGGTCGAGCAACTACGTGCTGTGCACGCAGTACCAGGACATCACGCCCACCTCCACCTGCTCCTCCATCCGCTCCACGTACGACCTCACGTGGCGCTCGCTGTACCGCTTCAACCCCGGCTTGCTGTGTGACAACATCAATGGGCTTGCCGGACAGGAGGTGCGCGCGTGCATGAGTTGGTTTGTGAGGGTGGATGGGCATGTGGTGTGGGTGGGTGAGCATGTGGCCGTTTCTGTGTGTGGGGGTGGTTGTGGGGGGGAGAAGGAGGGGGAGAGGAGGGTGTGGGTGTGGATGTGGGTGTGTATGCGTGTGTGTGCGTGTGGGTGTGTGCACATGCGGTGTGTTGCATGTGTCGCATGCGCACCCCAAGCTCTTGTGTGGATCGTGGCGCTCGCTGTACCGCTTCAACCCCGGCTTGCTGTGCGACAACATCAATGGGCTTGCTGGACAAGAGGTGTGTGCACACATGAGTGGGTTTGTGTGTGTGTGTGGTGGGTGGGGTGGGTGTGCGGGCTGGAGTGTTTGTGGGTGTGCGTTGTGAGTGTGTGTATGTGTGGGTGTGTGCGTGGGCGGGGTGGATGTGGGTGCGTGGGTCGTGTGTGCAAGTGCACGTTCGTGTGCGTGCGTGTGTGAGCGTGTGCGCATATGTGTGAGCATGAGTACACGTGTTGCATGCATGTGCAATACCTCAAAGCTCCTGTGTGATCTCACCCAACCACCCCAATCCAATCCTCCCATCATCCACCTTCAGGTATGCGTTGCCGGGGAGCCATTGGGAGCGGTGGCGTGCGGTGCCTCACGGTCCAAAAAGGTGCCAAACCGCAGGTACAGTGTGCAAGGAGGCGACAGCTGTGCCTCTCTTGTCGTCGTGCAATTCAAGCGCCAGTACCCTCTCGTTGCAGAGCTGAATCGAAACTGGATGTGCCGAACCCAAAGCCTTTACCAAGGAATGCCTATATGCATTCCGTCATAGTGACGGCTTGGTGTTGCTTACCTAGATGAACCAGTTGCTTGCTGGTATACAGGTACTATCAGGGAATGGCCTCATTCCTTCAGTGGTGTATTCTTACTCCATAAGAGTCATACTCTTATTTGTGTGTTTCATTTCTCAAATGCTGACCTTAGATTGAGCATGTAAATTGTAATGAGCTTGATTGATCTCCTACAGGAGCCAAAACTGTTCCAGGTTGGAAACAACAGATTCACTAAGGGGCGTACCGTACTAAGGGGCTGCCTTGAATCTTGAGGGTTTAGGAAGCATACCGTAGAACGGCAGTTTGACTAATGCAGTGTCACAAGCTCTTGGATGGCTAGTTATGATTGGAGTAACTGAGGCTCACACAATCCTACCGTAGATTGAAATCGACTTTTCGATTGGTTGCTCGATGCTATGAGGAGCAGCACATACGGTACGATAATTGGAGGGGGGGGGGCGGTAGGGGCGAACAGTCAAGGAGAGCGGAAACAGAGTGTGGGGTTGACAGAGGGGCAAGGAGGGGGAGATTTGAGCGCAAGGAAGGAGGGGGGGAACAGTGGATAAGGAGGGGGGGAACTCGGGGGTAGCATGGGGGGAAACATGGTAGAGCAGGGGCGGAAGCAGAAGAGAACGGGGAACGAGGATACACAAGGGGGGGAAAAGCGTGTACCTGCGTGGGGGAAAGGGAGGGTAAGCAATAAGGGAGACAGAGCGTCATCAGGGAGAGTATTGAGGGTAGGGGGGGACAGAGGCGAGGGGGTGGGGTGGGTTGGTGAAGCGGAAGGAAAGCAGAAAGAGAGAGAGAGAGCAGAGGGCAAGGTGGCCTGAACAGGACGGTATGGAGGGGAAGGAGAACGCAGCGCATGCAAAAAAAAGGTTACCTAGTATGGAAGTATGAGAGGCCAGCGAGAGGGGAATAGTGAGGCGGTGCGAGGGGGAACAGAGGAGTAGGCGAGGGGGAAAACGCATGGAATGGAGAAAGGGGAACCACAGGCAAGGGAAGGGAAATTCGAGAAGAGGCAGGGAAGGATAGTAATGGCACGGGGGAGTAAATGGAGGGCAGATAGAGGCGGAAGGGGATGAGAGGGGGAAAGGGAGTGCAAGCTGAACGGGAACAGCAATAAATCCGCAGCTATGCACCCCGCCTATTGGTTAGAGTGAGCGGGCTCCCTTATTGGAGGTCAATACATGGGCGGTTCTCGCTGCTCACTCCCATTCCCCTCGCGCCTTCTCGCTGCTCACTCCCCTCCCCCCTCGCACGATGGGGTTGACGTTATAGAGAGCATAGTGAGGCGCTGGAACAGTAGAATGGCTGAATGTTTTAGCGTACATATTGGGAGTTTGCACCTTAGGACCGCGAGGATTGTAGCAAATCCAAACCCGACATTTGGCAGGGCGGAATTACGACGAGCGCAAGGAATGTTGATACGCAAGGAACGTTGATGCGCAAGGGTTACTGACAAGCGAGATGCGGCGTAGAGAGATGGACGCATTTCTAGGTCGAAACGTTGGTCTCTTCCTCACAACGCGTTGGAGTAGTGCCTTGTTATAGCGAATGCTAATGTGGCCCACACTGGTGCACATACTGTAGCAGCGTGGATGGAAGGAAATCCCTCTGGACTGGATCGAGGCTGCGGCTCTTGTTTCGGTTTGTATTTGTGTTTCGTCGTGCAACCATTCGCCGGTTTTCGCCGAACGTCGCCGGTTTTCGCAAATCCAAAAAATTCCAGTTTCTCAAATTCAAACGTACACACACTTTCAAATCAATTGTCCCCAATTTCACACCCACTAGACTCCCAACAGCGGGATGCGGCGCCTCCGTCCCAGCCGTCCAGGCCGACATTCTCAGGGACACGTGGACAGTTCAACTAGTATGCATGGCGTACAACCAAGCACATGGGTCGGCGTGCTTGGATGCGTCATTCATCGTTGCGTACCACGTTGAAATCTTTATTATTGCCTCTTGAGCAACAAGCTATCGTGATTCGCGAAAGTAGCTCTCGCGTGCAGTGGTGGGTTGGGTCTGACCAGCAGCGTTGGGTCTCTTAACGTCATGTACCGAAGAAAGAACCACGGTGGCGTACATATTTCTCCGATTATTTTACGATAACCCATGACTGCTTTTCTATGGTTGAGGTAAACCGTTTTCAGCGAACTTAGCTGCAGTGTTTCCGAGCAGACTCGACAGGAGATATGTCGCTCCACGAGAGTGGCCGTGATGAGCATCATGAAATTTCAGAGATATTGGAGACGCTTCTCACGGACTCAAAGGTGGGATTGTTCATCCATATATATTTTTGTATCGCGAATAGATTCCTATAAGTATGCTCTGCTTGTCATATGTTGCTGGTTCTCCTTGGGGTATTCTGGACGACATGTCATGGCCTTTGTTGTCCATCATCATGTTGAACAGCCTGAAGAGGTGGTTTCGTCTGTGGAACCTAATCAAGCTGGTGAAATTGCAGGGGATTCGGGCGCTTCAAGTTCAGGAACCATAGAGTCTGCAGGTACAAAAGCAGAAGTGGATGTTTCGGATTTAATTGCTTGGGTGAGTGGGGAGGGTACTCCGGAAGCCGAAGAAAGTGGCATGGCCAAAGAAGCAACACATGTAGAGGTCCAGGATTACTCCGAGCAGATTTCGAGAAGTGAAGCTGCTACAGCTGATGTTAGTGATGTAGCAAATACCACACGGAACTTAATTAGTGAGGGCAGTGGCAGGGTTTTAGAAGATGTTCAAGCTAAGCTTGATGATGGTGGTATGGAGTATGTTCTTGCACATATTTCATCAACCAACTGACACTGCTGGCTTTGTAATCTTACTTTCATGTTTCTCTCCATGGAGCAAGCTAAGCTAGGTACTTTTTCATATGCTTTCGGGGAGGTTAGGGTTCATGGTTTTGCGGCTCATATAGAAAATCAGTGTTGAACAATCAGAGTCAAAGGTCCTACTTGTATTTGATCCTAGTCATTGAGCATTTATGCTAATATGATGAGCCTCGTTCCGGCCTAAATATTGCTTCACCATACTGTGTTTCAACAGTTCCTTTTATCAGCCCACTTCTGTATAAGTTTTAGCAATAGCGAAACCAGCATGGTAACCAGCACTGTGACAGAGGATGGACAAATCGTTTTGGAATCGTTCTGAACATTGGCGACGCGTTGTCAGGGCAGTCCTTTCGGAGCAGAGATTGGCTGTACAACTGACAGAATTCTGAATCTCTCGATTGGGTTCAGGGATTGGAGATTGCAGCTACTGATGGCGGCGGCGCGAGGAGAGAGAACTGTACTACTCTACGTCCCCCCCGCTTTCGGCTTCAATCTTCGGCGCTTTGCACGGGCAGCGGAAAATGATTGGTCTCTGGTGGTTTAGGGGCCGGAGCTTGGTTTCTCTGACTCTGATGTGTGACGGAAGTGATTTATTTTCCATTTACCCCCAAGTTCGTTGATATTTCGTAAACTACGAATTCGATTCGGCTTTGCATTGGACTCTTGAAATTGTTCAATTGAACGATGTTCTTATCGCCAGGTCAGCATCTTTGAATGTTGGCGGGAAGGTTTTTATCCGCCCAGCCCACACTGTTCCCAAGGTAAACGACCCTGCACATTCAAATTGCTTGTTTGATTTGAATGGACTCTTTCCGATCACAAAAGTTCCGGCGAATGGAAGTGCCCCTTCCGCGCCCTCACAACCACCAGCTGCGCGTAATTCCCGTCATTCAAATCCATCGTCGGGACCATGATGCGACGGCCAACAACTGCTTGTCTAATCTGACGGCTGTGATGTGTCACTCAGAAAGCATCAACGAGCTACACATCATCCACCTTCTCATCTTCCCCCTCTGCATGCGGACATAGGAAGATGCCATACTATGCAACACATCCGACCCTCGCGCAACCCATACCTACCCCCCTCCCCCCATCCGCCCCATCCGCCCCATTCGACCCTTGCGCAAACCGCGAACGCTCTCAGCTCCCACTCAACCCCGACCTCACATTGCTTCATTGCAGCTCTCTTTTCCAGAGGATCGCGCAAATTGCGGCTGACTTAGATGCTGCTGGGTCCCTAAGTACCAAGGTCCTGCATCGCCTGTTGCTAGTTCTTCTTCAGCCCGTCCAAGGCATTCTGTCTCCCGCTGCTCTCGCAGTTGGAGGCTGCTAGACTAGAGTTAGTTGTGTGATCGTGTACCGGACTGGACCTCACACTCGACGGCCTCGTTAACTAGCAGTTCGTAGTCAACGACCTCAGTGGTTACACGCGAGAACCTCCTGTGATGTCCCTTTCCCAACTTCGCCGAGCAGTTGCTGCTTAAAGTACATATCTGCAACTTTTTCTACTTTCGTAGCCTTCGCCCATAGCAGTTGCTGCTCGCCACTAGACAGTCTCATTATGCGAAACCGACCAGCCAGTAGATGCAATCGCCAAACTCCGTGCAATTCTCTCTTCTGCAAAATCGCGTACCGTCTTCTCTGCACGATCCACTGAACGCGGATCTGAAGCGATTCTCTTCGAACACGCGAATTCGTTCCTCTTGAAGTTTGTATCTCGATTCTATCCACCATGCCGTCACGCGGGGAGCTACCCGCGTTCACCTTCACGGCGCGAGAAGACAACCGCTCACCCGCCGGAGCACCACCGTCCGCAGCAGCAGTCCCCGCTACGGCCCCCGCCGGCTCTCCACTCCCCACAGCAACAACGACGACGGTCGCGCCGAAGACCGGAAAGCCTTCCCCCGTCAAGCCGCCAGCGGCTTCCCCTACGATCCGGCCTTCCCCTGGGGTTTTCAGGAGTGGGGTGTCTGGGGCAGCTGCAGGGCCTTCAAGCAGAGCGCCAGGACGCGGCGGTATTGGAAGGACGGCAGGGGGGAGGGCGGGCGGAAGGGATCACAGCGGCCGGGGGCGATTAGCCGCCGGAAGGGACGCGCCGCGCGTTGCTTTTGGGCGGGGAGTACCGAACGCTGCGGTTCCGAGTGCTAAGGCGGGAGGTAGCGGCAAGACTGCTGGCACTGGCAAAACGGCGTCTGCAGCCGGGAAATTGGCTGATTCCGGTCCTGTCAAAACTGCAGCTGCGGTTGCTAATGCGACGACCACTGGCGGCACCACCGCCGCGGTATCCATGCCAAAGAAAGAATCTTCCGCACATGGGGTCAACGAGCCCCCGTCCGAACCAACAGCCGCGCGAAGCATTGGCGTGAACGTGGCGCAGCCTCCGCACCTGGCACAGCCGAGCGCAGTGACGGCCGCCGCGACTACCGCAGCTCCCGCGCAAGGGAGCGCGGGGATCTTAAGGACGGGAAGGGGGGACGCGGCAGCCGCAGCGGCTGCGGGCGTAATATCGGCGGGAACCGCGGCGGGGTTTCGGGAGCCAGGACCCGGAGCTGCCGTTGGCATCGCGGGGGCGGAACCCGGGAGCTCGTCGGGGGCTTTCACGGTGTTTCCGCGCACGGGGCGGGGGGATGTGCGGCGGGCGTACGCGCTGGGGAAGGAGCTGGGGAAGGGCGGAGGGGGCGTGGTGCGCGAATGCTTGGATCCGCTCACGGGGCGGCCGGTGGCGGCGTGCAAGAGCATTCCCAAGTCGAAGCTACAGGTACGGAGGGAGGGCCCCTGCGAACGTGCTCCTCCCAATTCCTTCTCCTTAACTCGTTCCCGCTCGCCGCGTCGTTCACCTTACCGCATCCCTTCTCCATCTCTCCTGTATCATGTCTACATCCCCTCACTCTCCTCCCTCCCCCCCCACCCCCGCTCCTCCCTCTCCCCATTCGACCCTCCCGGGGCTCCTACTTCTCAATCCCAAACCCTACTTCGTTTTCGTTTCCTTCCCGCAAACACCATCGCTTTTCTCTCACCATCCACTCCCCCCCGCCCCTTCCGACCCCCCCTCTCTCCTCCCCCTCCCCCGTTCCGCCCGTCCCCCGCCCTTTCCCCGCGCAGCGGCGCGACCTGGCGGACGAGGTGCGCATGGAAGTAACGGCGATGAAGCGGCTGCACGGGCACGCGCACGTGGTGCAGCTGCTGGGCGTGTACGAGGACGCGCGCGCCGTGCACCTCGTCATGGAGCTCTGCACCGGCGGCGACCTCTACGACTTCCTCACCGCCGCCGTCACGCTCCCGGAGCCGCTCGCCGCGCGCATCGCCAGGTGCTTACTTGCGCGGAGGGCGGAGGGAGTGGGTGCGGAAGGGTTTTAGGAGGGTGGGGGAGCGGGGGAAAAGGGAGTTTGTGGTCATCAGGGAAGGTGTGTGTTGGCGCGGGTAGCGCGTCGTAGAATGATTGCCCAATACGCTCTCCGTTCATCCTCTTGTTTTTTCTCCGTCTCCGTTCCGGGAATTCCACTTGCGAATTCCCCGCGCTTTCCCGTTTTTTTCTCGCCGTTGCTCAACTTTCCTCGTTCCCCCTCCTCCCCCCTCCGCCGCCGTCGTCGCGCAGCCAAATCCTCCGCGCGCTGAGTCACTGCCACCGCAACGGCATACTCCATCGCGACGTGAAGCCCGAAAACATCCTCCTCGTGCGCGCAGCGCCACTCCCCAACCGCGCTTCCGCCTCCGCCGCCGCCGACGGCGCGGATGGCAAACCTGCAGGGCAAAACCCCGCGGAAGCGGTGAAGGCGTCGACGGCGGCGGGCGCGGCCGGCGCGGCGGGCGGAGACGGCGGGGACGCCCCGCCGAGTACCCCGAGCAGCACGGCAACGAGCAGCCTGTTCAGCACGCGGAGCAGCTTCCTCGACTCCGCCACCGGCGCAACCACCACAGCCAGCGCCAGCACCGCCACCAGCAGTCACGGCGCGACGCGGGGCAACCACGTGGACGACACCGACGCGAGTGGGGCCTGGGGCGCCCGCAGCGGCGGCGGCGGCGGAGGCGGCGGGGAATTCGGCGCGGAGGTCGGCGCGGAAAACGGGTGGGCGGGGATCCACGTGAAGCTGGCGGATTTCGGGCTGGCGGTTCCGCTGAAACCGGGGCAGCAGGCCGTGGGAATGCACGGCAGCTCCGTGTATATGGCGCCTGAGGTGGTATGTCGGAAACCGTACGGCGTGCAGGTGGACATGTGGGGGCTAGGCGTTATACTCTATACTGCGCTCTCCGGTTTTATGCCGTTTTGGGGCACGACGGACGAGGAGCTCTTTGTGCGGATTCTTCGCGGCCGCCCGGATTACCGCAGCGATCCGTGGCCGTCGATCTCGGACGAAGCGAAGGATCTGATCCGTTGGTTGCTGACGATAGATCCGCCTCGCCGAGCGACCGCGGAAGCCGCGCTGGCGCACCCGTGGATCCTCCGCCACTGCCCTCCGCAGCTGCCGTCCCTCTCGCTTCCGCCCACGCTGCGCGAAGCGGGCGCCCCGCAGCACAGGCGCAGGCCCGCGTCCTCCGCGTTCCCCCCCGGGAGCCTGCACTTTCCGCCATCCACCGCGCGGAGGCTTGATGGCGCCGTGGGGGTGCGCGGATTGGGGGAGAAAAGCGGGGAAAGGGCGAAGGGAGGGGGTGCGGTTGGGGGAGCGGGAGCGGCAGCGTCCACAGCAGCGGCAGCTGCAGGCGTGGTTGGGAAAGCGGCCATCAGTGCAGCACCAGCTGCAACCCCAGCAGCAGCAGCAGCAGCAGCAGTAACAGTTGCGTCTGCTCCTGTCGCTTCTACACCTCCTGCCACACTAACTCGTTGTGCTGCAGCTACTCCTGCCTCCACCGCTTTCGCTCCCTGCGCAACCGTTGTTCCTGCTCCTTCTACTGCTCCTCCTCCTCGTCCTGCTGCTGCTGCTGCTGCTGCCTGTCCCGCTGCTGCTGCACCTGCCGTGGAGACGGCGGCACAGGAGGTACACATGGATGTATGCACGCGCGCGGACATGGACGCGTGTGGGCGTGGCGCAGGTGCTGCGACGGACGCATGTGCGAGAGCCGATATGGACACAGATGTGGAGATGAGTGATGGGGCTGCTGTTGTTGGTCTTTCTGCTGCTGCTGCTGGTGGGAAGGGGCAGGGCGGCAGTGGCAGCGCGGAGCATTCGCCCATGAAGGAGGGACCGGATGACGCTGCTTGCATGGATGGGCATGAGCAGGCGCAAGGACATGGGTTTGTGCATGCGCCTTTGCCTGCGCCTGAGAATGGGCGCTTCCAGTCGCATGCGCAGGTGAACGAGGCGCTGTCCTGGCAGCACCAGCAGCACCAGCAGCAGCAACACGAGCAGCAGCAACGGCAACAGGAGCAGCAGCAGCAGCAGCAGCAGCAGCAGGTGCAGATGCAGGAATTCAGTCAGTTCCCCCCCACTCAAGCGCACGGGCGTGGCTTTGCCCACAGCTACATGCACGGGCAGTCCCCTCTCTACCCTCGCCTGCCAGGCCAAGACCCCGCCTTCGCTGCCTTCGCCCCCACTCCCCCTTTCAACCACTCCTCCGCTTACCACCACTCCAACCCTACTCCGCCCCTGCTTCCGGCACCGGATTTCACCTGCCCCAACCCCACCTCTTCCTCTGCATTCCTGCCTCCCTCTCCTGCCGCCTCTCCCGCTCCTTCCTTCGCCTCGTCTGCTTCCTCTTGCCCCACGCCTTTCCTCGCCCCGCTACCTCCACTCTCCATGCTCCCTACCTCTGCGTTCAGCCTGTCCCACACGCCCACTGCCCCTGGTGCCGCTGCTTCCGCTGCCCCCACCGCCCGTGCCCCTTCTCCTTACGACACCACAGCACCTCTCTCCGTTTCTGCCGCTCCAGCTCCCGCCACCTCTCCATTTGCAACCGCCGTCGCTACAGCTGCTCCTGCCGTCCATGCTACAGCTGCCGCCGTTGCCGCTCCCAGTTCCCCCTCTCCTCTCCCTGGTCAGTCCAGCCCAGCCGGTTCAAGCTCACCCACAGCCCTCCCCCCTGGCACCTTCGTCATCTTCGGTAGAAGCGCACCCACTACTAGCACAGCAGCTGCAGCAGCTGCACCAGGAGCAGCAGGAGTGGCACAGCTGCAACAGTCGTCCGTTCTGGCACAGTCACCGCTTGCCCCTGCCCCTGCTTCTGCTTCTGCTGGTGCTGGCACTGGTGCTGGTGTGTGGTCAGGCAGTCGGGGTTGCAGTGGCGGCTACCACTCCCCTCACTGCGCCTGCAGCAGCCCCCCTATTGGCCTCTTCTCTATTGGGGCGCCAGGCGCTTTCCGGCTGGGAACAGCAGACCTGGAAGATGGTGCATTCACCCGAGGAAGAGCAGTGGCGGATACGATCATGGGGGAGGGCAGCCGGGGATCGGCTGGGAAGATTTCGTTGGGCAACCGAGAGGGTATCAGCCCCGGTCGTCGGAGGTGCTTGTTTGCCCAAGCCCACTCTGCCAGCAACGCTGCCTCTGCTGCTCCACTTGCTCCCTCTGCTGCTGCATCGGCTGCTGCACTGGCAGCGTCCGCAGCAGCGGTATCAGCGTCTGCTGTTTGCGTCTCTGTGCCGCCTTCACTCGCGCCTGCACCCAAGGCTATGAGGGGGGGAGGGGGAGGAACCAGCCTAGGCCCCATCACGTCCCAGCGCACGCGCCCGTCTGCTCTCAGCAGCCCTTTCTACCTGTTTTCGCCCAAGAGGAAGCTGCGCAAGGCCCAGGTTGTGAGCGGTGGAGGGAACGACGAGCGAGCAGGGCGAGGAGAGAAGGGCGCGGGAATGTCAGCAGTGGCTGCAGCAGCTGCTGAGGCTGCCGCCACTGCTGCTGCAGCAGGGGATTCATGCCCTGGGTCGGTGGGGTCCATATCTGCTTTTCGAGCCCGTCTCTCCCCTGCGGTGCAGATCGACAGGTTCGGCGCTCCCGTGCCTAAGGCTATCTATTCCTCCACGGGAGAAGTCCTTCCCCCTGCTGCTCCTGATGCTGCCACTGCCGCAGCGGCTGCCGCTGCTGCTGCTGCTGCTGCGACAGCAGGCAGTACTGCTGCTGGTGTAAAGGCAGGTGTGACAGCTGCAGCTGCACCTGCTTCCACTGGGCTTTCCGCAATCATGGCTGCTTTCTCTGCTCTGAGCACATCTCCCACCAAGCTCAACAACGCTGCATCTGCTACTGCAACCGCTCCGCGTTTCAACTTCTCCCTGCCGTTCCATGAAGCGCTATCGTTGGTGCCGGCAGCTTCGGCACCAAAACCAGCAATGCTGCTGCTCCTGCTGCAGCGCCAGCTGCTGCTGATGGCTCTGCGTCTCTCTTTTCCCATGGAACCAATCCTTATTTTGGACCTGGAGCCTTTGGATCCATCACTGCAGGTCAACCCCTGTTCACCTCCACTCCTCCAAACACCTCTATTGCTGTCACTCACACGCCTGCGAATCCAACCACTGCCAACACCACTCCCACCACGACCTGCAGCGCTGTACCATCGTCCCCTCTCTCGAGTGCTACCCCCACCAGTGTTGGCACCCCAACGCAAGCCGCATCCAGCAGCAGCCCCTTCTCCTCCTCTGCCTCCCCCTTCGCTGCTGCCTCTGCCATCGCCCGTGCTTCTGTGAAGAGCCTCTTTCGGAGCATCAGCAGGGGCGGCGGCGGCAACGGCGGCAGTGGCAGCAACGGCAACAGCTCTGCTGGTGGTAACCAGAGTAGTGGTGTGAACGGAGATGTTGCTAGCGGGGTTTGCCCTGCTGGGGCTGGAGGGGAGTTAGAGCAGGATCGTGCACTAGCTGCTGCTGTCGCTCTTGGGCTCTATGAGAGCAATGCAATGCAGGCAGGACCGGCAGGAGGACAAGGGGGTAGAGGTGTCGGGAGTGGTGGCGAGGCGGGGATTGGTGGAGCAGGTGTGAGGAGGGGGCTGTTTTCTGGTTCGCCATCGAAGCGAGCACCGCTAACCCGAAGGACAAACTCTGCCAAGACTGGGTCCACTCCTCGTGGGCTCTTTTGAATGGGCACTGCTAACACACGCAAACACACTGCGCCGCACGCACCTGCTAACATGCCTCATCCCACGTGCATTGCACTCGCTCATACTTTGAGATCTTTAGCAGCTCCTTTCCATGACGTGCGGCTGCACCCAGAGTATTTATGCATACAGATATTTATACATGCTATGAAGCTTCAAAGTCCTCACCATCCCTCCCCTTGCCCCGACTTTCTTGCCTCGCTGTCTTTACATCCTTTCCCTTTGCCCTCCGTCAAGCTTCTGTTCCTTACACTCTTGCTAGATCTATGGACTTGCTATGGTTCTTGGATGTGGCAGATGTTGAGGGTGGAAATGGTCGGTTAATGGTTTACGAGCTTAAATTGTATGTTTACTTCATGAAGAGGTCTCATCAGTCAGACCCTCCCGATAGGAAGGGAAATAAACATGTTTCCAGGAATATTTCATAACGCTAAAATGTGTGGATGGACTAAACATGTGAGAAGTAGTGGTTGAGTATCCCTACTGTAGAGCTTGTTACAAGTTTGTTTCGCGTCCATCTTTCGCTAATGTGTTGTTACACCACCGAGTGTAATCCTGCATCGAGTCCAGTGTAAACTGTAGTGGGACATCCGAACCAGTCCAGGGCAGGAAAAACAAACCACAGTATTTTCCGCGCAGCCAAAGTTTTCGTGCAAGGTCGGAAGCCTGTGGTGGGACCCAAACGCGTTCGTAACAGTGCACAGCTCAACAGGCCACCAAAGCCCACCTGATGTGGACCTCTGGAGATACAGGTTTGGCGTTTGTCGCTTCTGTGGAATCCAGCTTTCAGAAACACCTGCGCACTGTTACGCGCCGCATCTCTGATCCAACTTTCGTGGCATTTGGAGACCATGCAAATGTGCTTGGCATTTGGAGAGAATGCGAGGCTAGTCCACTTTTCCTGGACCCGTCTAAAGGAATAGGGAACGAAGAAATTGCGACCCAACTAAGGAGATTAATATTCTCGAACCGCGTAGCCATGGATTGAATTGAAATGAATTGAATACTTCCTTAAGATACACTATTGCACAAACTCTCACACCACAAGGGAGTGGATACGAGAAAAGAGGAATGAAGTCCCTCTTGAAACTGACGTGTGAGAGTGTTGCCACCTCATTAGGAAATGCCCTTCATATTGACTGTGCTGTCCTCTTGTCGAGTGCCTCTTACGAGAGCATCGCCTATGTGAAGTGGCCCCTGACAAGTCACCTTCGAGAAAAGCCAGGGCGAAGAACAATGTGAGGGGTTGGTCGAATCGCGGTGCATTGATAAGGCACGCCATCACAGCGCACCGCGATGCACGCACTCATCTCACGACAACCTCCATGCCTCCACCCCCTTTTCTCAACTCCTTGAACGCTTGTCTTTGAGTCGAGACTGTCCGAGGCGTAACCATCCACGCCTTCTCCTTCATGAACTCCTTTATGTGCGCCACCCGCGCGATCACGTTCTTGAACTCAGTGTAGAAAATCATCGCGAAGAAGAAGTAAAACCACCACCACGCGGCTCTTTTCTTGATGGTTTTCTCAGATTTGAAATAAGCGAAGATGATTTGAGCAGGCCCACAGGAGAAGGTGAACACGGTGGTGCCCAGGTAAACGAAGTCCAACCAGTTGATGGATCCGAAGCCCTTCATTTTGTACGCGATGAAGCACAGAAGCGGGAGGATCTGAAGGGACAGCCACGGGTAGATTTCGCGCCACACGAACAGATGGAAGAGCCCGAATCGTTGCCACACAGAGAGGTTTCGGCAGGTCATGCCGGCAAAGAAATGGCGCATCGACACCTGGAACCAGCCCTGTGCCCATCTCATGCGCTGATTCCAAATCTGCTTTAACGTCGTCGTCGCAAGCTCCGAAGAAATAAGACCAGGGTCCGACTTGATGCGACCACCGGCTAGAAGCACACGGATGGAGGAATCGATATCCTCCGTCAGCATGGAAGCATCCATTCCGATTTGCGCGAGAAGCCCCGACCTCCAGAAACCGTTGGAGCCGCCGAAGAAGCCGAACTGGTGAACAGACTCTGACCCGGGATGGCCGATAGAGTAGATCGTCTCGAACTCGACTGCGACGGCGCGCGCAACCCAGTTGTCGTCGCCGTTTCGCACGAGGCAATGCCCTTGCACGATGTCGTACCCGTTGCTAAGCCACTTCCAGGCGCGCATGAACGAGTCGTGCGCCGGACAATGATCCGCATCGAATACACCCACGAACTCGCCTCTGATCAGCTTCACGGCGGCGTTCACGTTCTCGGCCTTGGAACGGGAATGGATGACGCGGTAAGGGAGGAAGCGATCGGGGCGCTGCCTTCCCATCTCAGCGAGGATGCTCTCCATCTCGGGCATGTCGCGTGGCGTGTTGTACGCCAAGATGACCTAGAGATCACAGATAAAGATAAAGCATTAGACATGGTTCTCAGCATCGGCCATCAGACAGTTTCGAGGGGAATAGACCAACTGAAGCGAGGACGGGGCGCCTTCTCACCTGAAGTGGCGCGGGGTATTCAACGTTGAGAAAGGCCTCTATTGTCTCCAAGATAGTGTCCGACTCGTTGGGAAGATACGCTGCGATGATTGCGGAAGCCGGTGGATAAGGCGATCCTGGTTCTTCAGGTACAGGTTCTCGGTTGAATACGGCGAGGAAACATTCGATCCACACGACGAGCGCGGTAAGCACGAGCATGAAGACAACGACGAGGTAGCAGATGGGCGAGATGTCGATGCCGATCGCACTGTCGCAGAAGACGTAGAATGCAAACGGGAGTAGGAGTCCGAGAACGAACGTCGACAGAATCTGGACCGGACTGCGCAGTTTGTTCATGAGACGGCCATAGGACGTGGGAGCGGCTCCGCCCGCCATGGCTGCGTTTTCCAAGCTGCTTTGGGAGATTTTCGTGACGTACTAAGTAGGGCCCGTAGGAACTCCAAAAAAAGGGTGGCAGACAAGCTAATCGTTATTCGAGTGTGAAGAGTCTGGTCCAGCAATTAGTATTCCTGCTCTTGTGCCTAGTGAAAAACTGTCGAAGGTGAAAGAGTCAGTGTTGTTCGCGAAGATGTGAGGCGTCAGGCGCAGAACTGAATCAGAATTGTTACGGATCCAGCGAAATGCCAAATTGATTGAACCCCTACAGGGAAATGCGTGGAGGCTGCAGGTTGCACGACGCTACCAGAGCTAGCCACTAAGTTCGGCGAGGAAGTGGGTAAGGGGCAGGGGGTTCGGCAGGTTATGGAAGACCTTCAAGCCAGGTGAGAAGAAAGATGAATCAAGTTGTGGCAGGCAAACCTATCTGGCTGGACAAACCAACTGACCGGAATGCTTCGTTTTTTAGCAATCGAGATGAGAATATGGGACATTCATGGGCCCCTGAAAACAAGACGTCCAGAGCTTCCACTGGTGAATGTGGACTGAGAGACGAGAACGACATTTAGTGCTAGCCACTGCCAGTCGCAAAAAGACACGATTGTTTTGGCGTTATCAATGGCTACCCCTTTTTGTTGCTCGCTGACGGATGTGGCCGCCCATAAGTGTATGAGGTCTCACTGAAGCTGTGGCGTACATTTGATGTTCTTCACGAAGCTGACATAATTAGTGAGACTAAATGCTCTCCTGATAGTAGACTCGGCGCATGTCCTCTTCTAACATCACTGATCAACGTTCTAAGAATCAGTGTCGTTTTCTCAGAGGAGGGACGTTGCTGTACATCAGTATTGTTCTTACGCTCATGGAGGACTCGATAGAAGACAGCAACAGGCTATGTTGTTTAGGAAACATACAAAGTCAGTTGGGACAGCATCCGATTTGGATCTCGGAAGTACAGCTACATACGACAAGTGTGTGGATGGCAAGTTGTATCTATCCGCTGACTAGTTCATGAAATAGTTTTGTTTCGAGTGTCACCTCGTGAACTACAGAATGCATTTTTCATAAACCTCGTACTTAACCCTCGTCTTATTTCACGCTGTCTAGTTGAAGGTTCAAATCAACCGTGACTGCTTGAGAAAATAACATTTGAGTTATCTACACTATCATAATGTTCTGTTGAAGTTAAGTTCGCATGGTGTTGCTGGTGAGTACAGCTTGCATTTCTCAACGTCAAACCACGTATGCCCCAAACGTCTATCATAGATTCCACCTGAGGCCCACAGGCGACAAACGATTCACCTGAAGCCGCATCAGAGACCCGTCGCACTCGCTGAACAGTACTGCTCGGCTAGCTGTACAGTAGAAAATGTGCTACGCCCGCGATGAAGTGTCAATCGCACAAGGCTGAGCTTCGGAGCACTGCCCCTGAAATTCTTCTTGTGTCACTAGCCTCGGTTCTGGTTTGGTTTGGAGGAATTATGTCAGCGCGGTTCGCGGGTGCGTCGAATTGCGACGCGATATTATCCTCAACGAATCACTTCGGTCCTTGGTGTCCAGTGCCCCCACTGCCCAGGCGCTGAGCATGGAAGGGTGCGTGCGTTCTCTTATCTCACGCCCTGCAAAGGACCAAACGGACAGCTCTGCGACAGCTGGAGACAGTGGCCACTGGCCAACCGTTCCAGCCTGTACAGCGTGCTCTTTCACAAACAACCTTTCCAAGACAGTCAACCATTTGTTCCAGTAAAACGGTCGGTTCCACGGGTTATAGAAATATCATCCTCACTTCTTAATTTCTTCTACGTTAGAAAGAGTCTCAAAAACAATTGTGCTCAAAGGTTGGAATAATCTCTTTCCAGCACTTCCATTCTATCAAAACAGTGTTTTACAGCATGTACGCAACAAAACTATTGCACAACTACCCCAACGACCGAATTGACAACCAACAATCAACTAAAGGCGGTGGCGACCCAAAGCACGGACAGAAGGAAAATGAATAAGACCATGCCCATCACAACGAGCCTTTCTTTTCCGCCCTCGACCGCCCGGGTCCGTATACGCCGTGCCGCATACACAACGGCATGCAGCTGGATTGGAAGGCCAAAACGCGCAACTGGAACAATGCCCCACTCAGCAGCTGTAAAAGTGGAGTTTGCATGAGCCGGGACAGATCAAGGCCAATGCTCCAATACCATGGCTTTAGAGGGATGTGAAAGGGGTTGGGGTTGAATCATCACGGGCCAAATGGCGAACAGCTTGGAGCTCCTCCCCAGCCAACACGACGACGCTAGGAAAAGACAAACCGAGCGGGCCAGCGACGCAAAAGGGCAAGCTCGGCACATCCTGGCCCACAGCCTCAGTCAGCTACCCGAGGCTCTTAGAGAACCACGAGTTGAGGAAATCCACCCCTCCCACATGTCAAACTGTACGTTGCATATACATTCTGGTAGGCTAGCGTTAGCTAGGGTTTCCATCATATCCGTACCCTTGTTCGTTACTACTTCACGCATTCTCGTTCTCACACTTCTTTAACATGGTATCATCACTAGATACCTAGCCTGCTCTGCCACTCGCCCGTACCTAGCCCATTCCTAGCCTAGCGTGTTCAGAGAGCGCCCCTACCATAGCATCACGTCGCGCCCCGTTAGCCTATCCTATCACCCCTAGGTCCCGGCCCTGCTGGGCCCTCCCGGTGCCACTAGGTCGCGGCCGCGCTGCCTCCCCCTCCCGTTGTCCCTTAGCGCGCCCTAATCGCAGCCGCTAAACACGCCCTCCCGTTGCCCCCTAACGTGCCCTCGCAGGCCCCTTAAAGCGCGTCCATTAGAAGCTCCCGCGGGCCCCTCACGTCGCCCCGTAGGACAGTCCCTAGGGGCCTTTCGCGTCGCCCAGTAAGGAAAGCCCCTGCGGGCCGCGTCCTTCGAGCTTAGAACGCCCCCCCGTGGGAACATTCCGCCGCGACCTGAAGCACACCCTGCTAACCCCCCCAGTCGCGCCCCGCATATCCCGTTGCGTTGCTGTCGCCCGACCCTGGGCCGCCCGCAACCACTGCTACCCGTCCCGTTGCTGTCGCCATTGCGTTAGGAAGCACCCGCGCTAGAAACACGATCAGCAACAGCCGCGCATCACGACCTAACGCACACACCAGCAAGCATCCGAACGCGTGCGCTAGCAGTGACATAGGCGGCTGCCAGAAGTGTTAGCAGCTGTAAACCGCCGCCAGCACGCGCCAGCAGCAGCATAGGCCTCTGCCAGCAGCACTAGAAAGCAGCATATGCAGCCGCCAGCAGCGCCAGCAGGAGCGTAGGATGCCGCCAACGCGCCCCACTAGCAGCATAGGCTGCTGCCAGCACGCTGCCCGTTCTGCAGGCAGCGCACTGGTGGCACGTCACCCATAGTGCCCACTGCATCATGTGCCACCAGCTGCCCGAGCCGCCTTAGCTGCATCCCGTACCTTGACCACCGCCCACTCTTGCCCCCCAGCAGCACTCATACTGCCACCAGTGTCCTTGCTATCTGTAAGCGTCCGTTCTGCAGTTAGTAGCCGACCGTTGTGTCGTTCGTAGCCATCCGTAACCACCCGGACGTACCATGGCAACACACGTACAACACGTTCTGTCGCCCGTGGCACCGCACGTACCGCACCTGATAGCCTACTACCTGTCCCTCTAGCTGCTATAGCGTCGTCTAGGGTTCTACGCTTTGATGCTGAGGGGCGAGCAACCGAGTTTCAGACGTGGCTCCAGGTGGCGTCACTTGGAGAGCCAGCTTCTCAATGAAATTCCCCTGCTAGAGCACGCTGCTTGTAAGCTCATGGCCCCGTCTTGTCCTCCTCCTCTTATCACTCACCCTTCTGCAAATGAGCAGAAGGCCCATGACGAGGCTCGTATAGAGTACATGCGTTGGCGAGCACGTGACGCATCTGCTCGCCTCGCCATCACTGACCTCCTCCCGCCGTCCTAGCAAAGTCACTTTGACCAGGCGAAGACGGCGAGGAGCTCGTGGACACTGTTGTCTATCGCTATTCCACTACTGCCATTGCGACTGTAGGCCGTTAGCTACTGCCCTTCTTTCACCCTGACCTCCCCTCCTTTCTCACAGTGGCTGACCTGATCACGCACCCACGCTCGCTAGACTCCAGCTTTCGTGCAGCTGCAAACCCTGCGCTGCTTCCTAAGAACCCTCCGCCCTGTATGTGACACTGTACTTCCTCGTGAACCGCCCCCTGATCGCTTTGCGGGTTCCCGCGACCAGTTCATGACCGTGGACCCCATGACCCTTATCATCGAACTCTTTGAGACGCGTCTCAAAGAGTTTGAGGCCCGCCTCGATGTTGTTGCTATCGCCTCAGGTTCTGTACTTCCCCCCATCTTTGATGAATGTGCCCCGTCCCTCCTTGCCTTTCCCGTGACTTCAGCTTTCGTTGCCGAGCCTGCTGCCTCTACGGAGGTTGCAGCAGCTGCTGCCTCTGGTCGGCAGTGCAGTCGCGAGAGTGGCATGAAGTGTGGAGGGGATGGAGGCGGTGGAGGAGGTGGAGGCGGAGGTGGTGGAGGTACAATAATTCTTATAATTCTCGCGGAGGAGTTTCACCCAGACGCAGCACGCACCCTCCCAGAGCTTATCGAGGCTATTGAACCATCATGGTATAGAGCTAAAATTTCACATGCAAGGCAGACATAAACCAGGGCTTCGCTAGGTGCGGACGACCACGAGCTACGGGAGAAGAGCGTCAGTCACGTCGGCCTTCCGGTGCCACGAGAACACCGTGGTGTAGCGGGAAAGCTTGTCCATGACTACTAGAAAGTAGTGCCCCCCGCGAGGCCCAGCAACCCGGGCTAGGCCCCAGAGGTCCACGTGCAGGGTCTGAAGAGGCTGAGTGGCGCGAGACAACGAGGAGGAGCGAGGGGCGGCACGTTGGCAGCCCTTGACGCATTGAGTGCAAGATGGCGCAGATGAAGGAGGAA